ACGGAGGAAAGGCAACCCGAGGAAAAGCTTCAACACCAGAACCTTGTGGTTTAGTGGATGACGGTTTTCTGTGGCTGCGGTGGGATGGGTTGGCTCTGAAAGACTACTTGTAAGATGTGCTTGAAGGCTCCTTGGGAAGATGTTCTCTTGTGCTGTGTTAGTGATATGTAGGGAACTTTGGAGAGAGACTCACTGTTCCAACAGGGAAGTTTTTAAAAGAAATAATAAGCAGTCTATTTAAACATTAACGCTGAGCCTTGGAGGACAGCTTTGGTCTTTCATATGGTTGATAAGGTAGCTGTGCTACAGTTTGTTCTTTTTTGGGGGAAAAAAGGTAACATTCTCAAATCCATTGCATCACCTGCTGCGATTGCTTTCTCTCACAGTACGTTTGTGCTAACGGTAACTCACCTGCTAGTGACCACCGAGGGAGGGGCAGCGCGTGTGGGAGTAAAAGGTTAAGGATAAAATATGTGAAGAGTCTCCTCAGCCACCGGGGTTCTTGTGTAAATAACTTGTTATGAGTGGCTGCTAATAGCAAAAAATCAGGATGAATTGCCTTCCAGGAGACTGTGCCTACTCCACGGCTGCGTGGACGGCGCGCATGCTTTATTTGCGTCACAGTATTTAAACTTGGCTGTTGGAGGCAGAATTACAAATTTCCTCATTGGTGTTTTTTTATGGCTCACTCTGCTTGTACAAGAAAACATAATTTCATTACATTTTCCATAATTTTTAAGATCCATAGGAAGAGTCTTGCCCCCTTTTATAAGAAGGAGTTGAAGTGTGGGTTGTTTTTTTGGTTTTTTTTTTTTTGAGTGTCAGCTCTGGCACAGATCATCTAATTCTTACTATTTATTCTGAAAAATCACCACTGCTGATTTATTGGGAGTCTTGTTCCCTCTGACTTCAGTTTTATCTGAACACCATGTGGTCTCGTTTTCTGGGTCCTTCATCCAGCAACGGCAAATACCTGGCTTCTGGTGTCAAATTTATTTTAAATATACGCTCTTTACCTTGTTGTTGGCTCGGGTGTGCCTTGGCCAAACGCAGTTTCAGCGCTATGGCTTCTGCGCATTCCTACAGCGTAGGGACTGTCTTTGAGCAGGGTTTGGTTGGCCATCCCGGCACTGCGGCGGCGAGCACTCTGGCAAAGCTGGTGAAGTGGAGGAGAATCTGGTTTCTGCCACCTACAACCCGTGAGGGTCTTGGTTTGCTCAGCTCGCTCCGCGCGGGAGCCTGGCCGCGGCCTGGGAAGCGCCGGGAGGTGGACGGGCCGGTGGGCATGGCCAACGCTCCGGGGGGGGCCCGCGGCTTCAGCCGGCAAGAGGGGGGCAACCGGTGGGCTGGGGGGTTGTCGGGGAACTGTAACGTCGCTGGATTTGAGCAGATTTTTATACGAGGAGGCACTTGTCTGGCAGCGAGGCTGCCTCTGGCGGTGTGGAGCTCCTCCTGCCCCAAATGAGAGCGAGCTTGTCAAGGGAAACATTGCCGCTGTCTTTCATATAGTTGTCTTTGGTGTTTTCCTCGGAACTGGCCTGTTTTGTCTAAAACCATCTCGAGGCAGGTAGGTGCTGTAAGTACGAAGGAACGGAGGCACGGCGGCGGCGTGAGAAGCGCCGGGGGGGTCCCTCCTCCGCGCAGCACCTCGGCAATCCCGACCAGCCCTCCTGCTGCCAGCTGGAGCCTGTCTGAAGGACGCCCGGTGTCGCTGTTACGGGAGACATCAGCACCGCTCACCGAGTTTGCTCTTTCATAATTGGTGTCAGCAAAACCTCAGACAAAATTCTGGAGTTTGCGGTTTGTGGGTTTAGTTGTTGTTGTGGAGTTTTCTGATTTTTTTTTTTTTTTTTTTTTTTTTTAACTCTTCTGGGTGCACTTGGATGTGAACAATCGCTTCCCGTGTCGCTCTCGGAAATTGTGAAGCAGTGGTGTCTTGCAGTATTGTGAACTGACACGCACAAGAATTGTGATTTCCACTGTTAAAAGCGTGCTCCGCGAGTAACGAACGGTGAGCTGGGGTTGAGGACGGCCGTTCCAAAGGGCACGGTGCAGCGAGCCGCCCCAGGGAGAAAGTACCTGATGGCAGGGTGATCCTTTTCTGTTGGTCGGTGGAAGATGCCCGATCGGAGTGTCCTTCCTTCTCTCCTTCAAGCCCCCGTCCCCCTTTCCCCCGGGGGTGATTCAGGTCCGGGTGCTGACTCGGCTGAGCTGAATTTTCCCTGTCAGCGACCGCCACGAGGAGCAGGAGCCGCGGCGGCTGGAGGAGGAGCCCTGCTCGGGGCAGAGCGGCGACCCCGGCTACAGCTCCCAACAAAATGTCTTTGAAATCTCTCTCAGGGGTTTGTTGCCGTGCTTGGCGGGACGAGCAAACTGAAAAGTCTCTTGCAGACTAATGAACGCGTTTGATTAAGATTTGGCAGCTTTTCCTAATATTCCCTGTAACTAGGAGATCTTCCCAGGCAGTGCTCCGCTCGGAAGGGGAGGGAGCGCCCTCATAATTAAACGATGAATGAAAGCAAACGTTCCGATGAGCTCGCTGGGTTGGTGCTCAACTTGAGGCAGCACAAACCGAAATTATCCTACTGTAATCCCTTGGGGTCGTGTACAGGGTTGTGCACCCTGGTGTATCGGAGGCTTTGAGAGGTGGAACCTGAATTAAGGTCCTGTGGCCCCTGAAGTAGGAAAGTTCCCTGCCCAGCCCTCCTGGGTTGATCGTTATTATTATTTACAGATACAGGTTGCTTAGCCCCTATGTGTGCTATCCTGCAGCATAGCTCCATCAGCTTGGTGATGCTACATTTCTGGTTTACATTTTTAAAAAAAAAAAAAACCCACACTATTTGTTTTGGAGAACCTTAATGTACTCTGATAATTTCCTGTGTTGAAGTTATTCACTCCAAATTTCTGGTATAGTAGCCGGTATTTGATTAAGTAACATGAAATAACAGGAAATTCGTGTTGTCATCAGTTCAGAAGCATGGAAGCTGCTGGAGTTTAAATCCTGGAATTTTAGAAGTTGAGGTTTTTTGAGGAGCCGCGTTAGGCTCCCCGAGGAGATGAGTTTGTGTTTCTGCGTGGATGCTGCTGTTACGGTCATCAAGCAAGAGGTTTAATGTTGCTGCTGAATTAGCTGAAATAACGACGACAGGCAGTAACGTGAAAGGTACCTTCCAGCGGGTGGAAAGTCACCTTGATGTCTGAGATATCTGAGAGTGGTAGAATTCAAAATAAAGCCATCCCCAGGCGTGGGGTCCTGGGAGCAGAGAGCAGGGAACGGACAGAAGGTGGCTGCTCAGAAAGATTGCTCTTTCTGGCATTGCTGGAGATAAAACCAACAAGTTAAATGAGGGAGAATATAAAGGTTTATTGAAATGCAGGGGAGAAGACTAGTATAGAGGAGCCAATATAGATTAGCTACCAAAAAAAATTGCTTTCTAGGTGAATATGAATGGGTCTTAAGAATTAAAAGCAGTGTCCAGCCTGTACATTTTGGTGCTTGTTTTTCTTCACAAGTTTTTGTTTTTGTGTGCCTGGGACGCTAAACCCGGTGCTGCAAAACGTTTAGTATGGCTTGGGAGCTAAATGGCTAGGAAGGGGCTGCTGCAATGCAAGGGGAGAAAAGGCTTTTAAACTTGTCCTGGAGTCAGGAAAATAAAGAACCACAAACCCGCCCTGCTGTTGAGCATTGCCAGGACAGGTGGAAGGCACCATTTTACTTTATTTTGCTTGTTTTAACAGTGGCGTTTGTACCAGAATTGAACTGTCCTCTGAGACACTGCTTTCAAGACTGGCAAGCAAGAAAATGTGAAATATAAATAGTAATTTGCAAGATGTGAAAAACAACCTTTTAGCTGTTGGAATTGGTACACTATTGTCCGGTGGGCTCTTAGCATGCACCGCAGCATTACAGTCTGTTGCATTGTTTTAAAAAGAAACATCTGACACAGATAACGCTTTATTTTAATCCCAGGATGACAAAGGAAAATGCATACATTTGTGATGGCTTGTTTGCACCGTGTCCTTCATAAAATGCAAATGCCAGAGGGATCGCAGCGGAAGACGGCTCGCGGCAGTGCAGCTGTCCGGCAACGCCGCGGAGGATTCGTGTTTTAAAAGCTGTTTGTAGGGAATTAGAAATTCCCCAGACGTGCCTCTTGCACGTCTCACGGTGCAAAGCAGTGCGGCAGTTCTGCTGTAGGATTTGTGAGATTTAGGGAGAAAACTTGAAGCTGCTGCTAAATGAATGTTTTGTTATGGTGTGTGCTTTGGCGGGCAGTAGTTCTGCTGGTGGCTGGACAGTGCTTTAGAGACTGATATTTTTTTAAAAGGAGCCGAGGAAGTGGTTGTGGCTCCCTGCTGCCGTTGGGAGAAAAAGCGTGTGTATTCACTGTCCCCACCCGGCGTGACAACCTTTGGTGGTGGTGACCAAAAAAAAAAAAAAATAAAAAAAGGACCAAACCAGGGGAAAAACCGTCAACGCTGGTCCCTGATGTGAGCTGTGCGCGGTGAGACACGGCGGGTTCCGCACTGCCGGGGGGGGTATGACCCACCCCCGCCTGCCAGGGCAGGATCCCCGGGCTCCTGCTCTCCTGGGCCGTGGTGTAAAACCCGCAGGAGGTCAGAACTTCACCACTAACATTCCAACGATTTATTTTAATAACTTGTAAGATGGGAAGGTTTGCGGTTTTAATTAAAGCAGAGGTTTCCTTCATCTGCTGTCTGTCTTTTCCCACTGGAATATTATGAGAAATGGGATGCTAATGGCATCTGGATGAACCTGTCTGTTACAGGAAACATCTTTCTTCCTATAGGTATTCTGGTTTGGGGGAAATTTTCCAGAAATAGCCAACCTGTCAGTTCTGACTCCTCCTGCTACTGTGTTGAATAATAGTAAACTAAAAAAAATTATATGTTTGAGCATTTTTTTTTAAAAAAAAGCTCAAACTTACAATGTCTCCTTTCCCTATTTTTTTTTTTTTTTTTTTTTCCCCCCCCAGCAAAACCAGAAGAGACCAAACCAGCTGAAGCTGTGACAGGGAACGATATCACAGCACCTCCCAACAAAGAGCTTCCTCCCAGCCCCGAGAAGAAGACAAAGGTAGGTGTCGTTTCACGTTCGGCGTCTTCGCTTCCATTTTATTTGCTGGCTTTTCTGCTTCTTAAGCTGTGGCAACAACACGAGTTCTGTTTTCTGAGCTGCCATTTGTGAACCATGTTACGGGAACGAAGACACCCAGTTACGAAGTTGTGAACAACTCGGCCAGTAGCGAATGTGACCGAAAGTGGATTTAATAAACGTGTGGGAAATTTTATTTCGGTTGATTCCCGGGTTGGTATCGGTGCCGTAGAAGTAGTAAACATGGATGATAACACTCCTGCTATGCTGCTGCTCTCCTCGCTGTTCACAGCACATTTCTTCCCATTACGATTAGCCCTCAGAGGTGCTGCTCAGGGTCTGCTGTTCTCTTGTTTTGGGGCTGTTTATGAAATGAGGCATACCTGCTTGCAGAAGCTTGCAGCGTTCAGCGAAATCCAGCCCCAGAATTCTTAGAGCAGTGGTCGGGGCAGGGGGTTCGGTCCCCTCGGAGGCAGCACGGCCGTTGGATGAGGATTTAGAGCTTGCCATCCGTTGCGTGCATGGAACTGGAAAGCAGTGTCCTGTGTATTGCACGTAGGAGTAGATGCCAGGAACACCCAGTTCCTAATCCCAGCTTTACCAGCGATTCCTTCTGTTGCTTTAGATGTCGCTGGAATAAATCCTGTTCGCTCTGAACTGAGTGGCAAAACTCCAGTGGGCTTCGAAGGCAGCCCTCGTGTGACGCTTCAGTTTGGTCCTTTTCTTACGCTCAGAAAACAGAAAGCTAATTCTTTTTGTTTGTTTCGTTTAAAAGACCGTTTTTTCTGTTCTTGCAGCTCAGTGTTTTGGTTTACGATGCGCTATTTTTTTGTTGTGTTTTTGTTTGTTTGTTTGTTTGTTTTTATACTGGATTTTGCTTTTTGAAAAAACACAAAGCCTGCCGCAGCTACATCATCTCCAAAGCCTGCAGCAACGAAAGCCAGGCCCCTGTCCTCCACCAGCCCCAAGCGGCCAGCCTCTGCCGCGCCTGGCCCAAACAAAAAGCCCACGAGCCCTACTGCAGGTCCTACTTCAGCCACTACTGCTAAACGCCCAGCCACCGGTACTACACGTCCCTCCACCTTAACTCCAAAAGAGACTAAACCAAAGGTAAGAAACAGTTTGCTTTTGTGTGGGAGCTCCAAGAACTTACCTGTTGACTTACCAGCTGTCTTAGCCGAGAGTCAAAACATAACTCCAGTGCTAATCATGGGAGGAGAAAAAGATCCCCCGCGTTATCAGGGCTGCACAGTTACTGGTATCGGCTTCCGCTAACCCACTCAGGGCATCAGGCCCCAAGCACGTAACTGTGTCATCACACAGGAGAAAATTAAACTGGGCTGTATTACTACGGTTCTCCTAGAGAACAGTCATGAAGTACACAAGACAATTCCTTATTTCCTTCCATTAGTAAAGGAGGAGGGTTTTTTAAGTATAGACACACTGCAAACATAGGATAACTCTTCGGGCAAGAACGTGGGAAAACTGAATGGAGAGCCTCGAATCTTGAGGGGAAATAAAGTCAGCTTGAACGTTTCAGTGTTTCCCCCCCAGTGGTCTCTTGGTGGTGTCTGGCCACTCTAAAACCTGTACAAAGGTACCTGACTGTGCACTTGTGTGCTTAGGGGATATTGGAGGTTGTGATTCTCCAATATGAGAAGACACGTGGACAGTTCTTAGTGCTGCATCTTAAGGCTGAAGTAGGGGCTCCACGTGTAACCTTGAGAATGGGAAACGTCCCTTGCATCTTCCCGACGTTAACTTGTGATATTGTCTAGCAGAAGAGTTCAAATTTGAAAGGGAATGTTAAAACCTCTTTCAGAAGTTCCCAGTCGATATCTCAATGCTAGTGTTTCTACTATCCCTTTAAGCTTAAATAACTGCATTTGAGTGTCTTCTAAAGCTAGCTAAATACAAATAACAAAAAGAGTATGAAAGCACGGGCATAAATCTGCACTTTTCGTTTTGTGAACCAGTGTCTTCAGTTTTGTTTAAGTTTTTGCCTGATGCTGAATCTCTTTTTGATGAAATCAAAATCTCATCTTACTTGTTTCTGTACGTTAACTCCGGTATTTTAATACTTAAGAGGTCAGTCAGTTTACAAACAAGTGACTGACCAAGGGCAGGCATGAAAGTTTTCCAAGCGAGGACTGAGCCACAGACACCTGATTCTTATGTCCACAGTGTTTTAATAAACGCTGCCGTAGCCCAGGACGCATTCCTGCTCAGGAAGGAAAGAAGTCTCTCCCAGAAGTACTGCTAGTGGACTGATGTTTTCCATTTGCTTCAGAAATCCAAACCTCGTTCACAGCTGTAAACGGCCTCCGTGCATTAACGCCGAAACAGATCTGGATGAATTCTGGTGTTCAGCAGGGTCTGTGCTCTGTGTCCTGCACTGAGTATAGTCGGTCGCTCCTGCGTGCCTTAATTATATTTTTAATCTTCTGCTTTATAATGTTTTGGCAGTGCCTAGCTTACGCGTTTAAGAATTCCAACAATTGCCATTTATTTCAGGCTTTTTGTTGGCAGACCCTTTGAGGAGACGGTCAGTGAAATACTGGCTTTACTGTAGCCTGTTCCTTTGCAGGTTGCAGATGCGAAGACCACCGAGAAGCGGACCTCGCTTTCAAAACCTCCATCGTCTGCCACCCCCAGAACCGCTGTCAGGAGCAGCCCTGCTGCTCCGCGGGCAACAGCGGCATCGCCCGTCGCTGCAGCTGCTGGTGCGAAAAACACCGCTCCTTCTCCCCCCAAGAGGCCAACCTGTGAGTGTTCCCTGGCTTTTCTGCAGGCGATCTCTTTTTCGCTACCCAGCGGCAGGTTTCTGGTTGAGTAGCGCCGTTGGTTCACACTGTGATGTCTTTCCCACGTGTTCCAGTAGGCTGACTGCTTTTTTCCCCTGTGCTCAGGTCATCCTGTGCCCCATCGGTTTATTAAAGTGAGTCTTTAGGTAAACTAGCTTGCGATCTTCAGATTCAAAAGAAGGAAGAAAAAAAAACCCAAAACCTTAAAAACGTGGCCATTCATGAGAAGCTGCTGTTAGCCTGTGCTTCTGCGAGGCGGCAGCTGGCCTACCGGCCAGTCAGGAGTTGACCTGAAGCTCAGTGGTGGCTGAAACGTTAACCCTTTTAATAACCCTTTTAACCCTTTTAATAACCCTTTTAACCCTTTTAAGATCCTCTGCCGAGGCACAAAGACTTCTTCCTCTCCAGGCCTCCCTCTTCCAAAACCAAATCTGCATGGCCTTCAAGGCCAGCGTGGATCAGCTCTGTGTGATTCGGGGTTAATACTACAATTACTGAACATGCTTGACTGAAGAAAAAGGATCCTATTACCTCTGTGTTTTGCCATAGTAACAGTTGGAATAAACACTAAAACCAAATTTTAAAGCCTGGGAAAAGCAAATCGTCAAAAGAAGACTTGCAGCACTCAGACTAGTGCATCTGAAAAACAAAAAAGGATGGACAGAAGTGGAGGTTTTTTACTAGTGCAGGAAGAATTTGGAGCTGAAATCACATCAGCTTCAGCAGAAAACTGTACCCCCTGCCCACTGTTGCCAAAGAGGGAACTTCCCGTGAGTTTAACGCAGCCAGCATGAAACCTGAGCAGCCTATTAGCATCTTGGAAACACTGGTTTTGCTCATTTTAATGGAGCTTGAGAGATTTAACGTCAGATAAAAATATAGTTAAATGTTCTCAAGTCTTTTCAAATGACTAGACTTCATTGGCAAAATTTGCCAGTAAACATGCAAGACTAATAATACGTATTGGTTGCTTTGTTCTGCGAGTCCCAAGGCATGAATTCGTAACCTCTCTTTCCCAAAAGAATAGTAATGGTTTAACTATGTTGAAATATGTTGGGCTAGATATACGTTCCATACTTTACACTCTAGGGGAAAATGTAATTTATCAAGCGTAGGGGAAGTGTTGCACTTTCCAAGAGCCATGTATCTTAACTGATTCTATGGACACCCTTGTAAAATTAATTTTGTGTGGTCTTCCATGCAAACTGCAGCCCAGAATGCTCGATACGTTTTAGTGAGGTCAGTTAATTCCTCCTCCCAAAGCCGAGACACCAACAAAGGCGCCTTTTCTGATGACATTTGAAAAGAGATGGAGCCAACGATGCCGAGCGGCGGGAAGGTTGTTCCAAGTGGCAGGAGGGAGAGAGGAAAAGGCGAGGGTGGCGGGACGCTGGCAGAGCCCAGCGAGAACTGGGTGGGCGAGGGAGAGAGGAGGTCAGCTGGGGAAACTCCCTCGGGAGGGAGAGCGGTTTTGTCTGGATCTGGAGCTGCACGGGGGAGCCGTGACGGGCGAAGGAGGGGGGTGCTGATTTGGAAGGGGAGAGGGCAGGGGTGGGAGCGGGGATGGATGGGGCTGCGGGGCCCGAGGCGGGATGGCAGCGGGCCAAATGCTAAGGGCTCGGTTTCGGTAGCGCGAGCGCTTCGGCTGGATCCAGGGGGGCGGGTGACAGGATGGAGAGCGGGATCTCTCCTGGTCACAGCTCAGCTTCTCAGTACGTAGCGCTGGGACGGGTCGGGCGTTTCTGGCTAGAGCTGGTATTTCAGAAGGACATCTGCGTTTCGGGTTCGAAAAGACAGAGACTCGCTTCCTTGTGGTTTGCTCGTGTGTTTGGGTGTTCTCACTGTTGTAAAATGTGCCCAGAGTGGCTTGTTTTGAAGTTAGATTGTTTCACTTTTTCGGGTATTAAGCATCAGTCGCTTTCTCAACTAAATGAGGACCATGGGCTAGGTGGTGCTTCATTTTTATTTTATTTTTTTTTTCCCCAGTTTTCCCCCTTCCCTGTAAAAATGCCTTTTATGTTTGTACGAGACCACCTCTCTGTCTTTCAGATCTGAAAAAGATCGAAGCCTTCGACTGTTGTTATAGACCATTTTCCCAGAAGTTTTATCATTCTCCAGGTTTTCAACATTGCATGCTAATAGCATGGACAGAAGCGTTTCAGTATTTGGCTCCTCACTGACGCGAGTAGAAATAACATCTCTATATATTAAATTAACATATTAGTCCTCTTGCCTTGATTAGAAAACTAAGTCTGTTCTGTCCATACAGTTTGCCCAATTAAAGATGTGGTCTCAGGGAATGAGATTAGGTTGGTTTGACAGGGCCTTTTTTAGGTATTAATTATATAACTATCCTTTAGGCCTTATTAAATTGTCCAGATGTGTTTCATCTCATTAGCTAGTATCTGTGGTGTTTAATTGAATGCTTTTAGCAAAGTCAGGATGGAACGATCCAGACTAACTTGGCCTAGAGTTATCTGCCTCTTTTGCTTGCTCTTTTCTAGATCGGTGTTCTAGAAATTACCCTGCCAGCTACTTGAGTTTATCTAAAAATCTAATACTGTTCATGGAAATTAAATATTAGAAGATGGGAGTTGTCATGATTTCTAACTTAGCTTTTTTTCCATTTATTGTTTGCTTTTAACGTTGCCTTCCTTTGGCTATTGAAATGAAGCAGATATTAGCCAAAGTTGTCTGTCATCGATAGTAAAAAAGCTAGAATTTCGTTATCAAAGAGCTCTTTCAAATAAGGCTCTGTTTATATTTTTCAGTCTGTGAATTTTCCTTTCATCAACTTCGGGTATGGTTTTATTCTGCTCTGAGAGATATAGATGTGTTCCTGGTTTGCTGTCCTCTGTCTGTGTGGAATGTAATCAGGTCATGATCACTGGTGTTTGCCCAAAGGCGTAGTTCGGTTTAGTGATTGATTTTTGGATTTATACAATTATAATAGGGACCAGAATTTGTGCAATAACTTCTGTGCAAGAAAATTGGCATTGGTTAGAATTGATCTAGCAATAATACCAAGGTTATAGATGGACAAATGCTATTTAGTAAAAAGAGCTCTGGGTTTGTGCTTTTCTTTTGGTGATGGGGTTTTGTTGTTATTTTTTTTTTAAGGAAATATCTCGGGACAGGATTTAAAATAACGTTAGTGAGTCCTCTAAGATTCAGAAAGTCACTGTAAGAAAAAGCAAAATGCAAACCGCCCCCGAGGTGTGTGGTGTCATCGGGTGGTGAACTGATCCTTCTGCTGGAACCCGGGGATGAGCGTTGCGGTTGCGCCTCAGCCAGGTGTCCAAAGGGAGCCGTTAGTTCTGGAGAGGCTCGCTTTGGAGCGGCGCCTTGGGGACGGGGGGGCTGTGGGTACGCGAGGAGCTGTGGAGGGCCCCGACCTCCAGGGGAGGGGAGAGCTGCCGGGATCCCGGGCTTCTCCCCTGTGCAAAGCGGCCCCCCCGCTGACCCGTCTGTTTTGTGTTGGGCAGCCATCAAGACTGAGGCAAAGCCTGCGGATGCCAAGAAGAGCTCTGCAAAGTCACCATCAGGTATCTTTGTTCAGTTTCCATCTGCATCAAATCCTCCTCCTTTCGGGGCTGTGTTTATTAAGCAGGTCTCTGTACATCTGTAAGACTCGGAGGAAGTTTGTATCCATGGCCTCTGACCCACCTTTTTCCCCCCTTCCCTCCAACTATCGCTGTGATCCTCGTAGCAGACTTGAGCCGCCCGAAGAGCGCTCCTGGAAATGCAGTAAAAAGCAGTGCCACCACTCCTTCTACCGCCGCCTCCAGCGCCCCTACTTTGCCCGGAGTAGCCACCAGTCGTCCCAAAGCCAAGCCTGCTGCAACCAAACCCACCCCAACCTCAACTGCAACAGCAGACGCTAAAAAGACAAGCGCTAAGGCCCCGACTAAACCCAGCGCTGTTGCCAAGCCACCTCGCCCGACCAGCAGCGTTTCTGCTCCAGATCTGAAAAATGTACGTTCCAAAATTGGCTCGACAGATAATATTAAACATCAGCCTGGCGGAGGAAAGGTAAGTTTCTTCAAACTTGATAACAATATATGCTTTGGAACTGTAGCTCTTAAGCATTAGGGGTGCTCTTTGCTAATGTTGGTGGCTGTATCCTCACTGCGCTTCTCATTTATGCTCTGCAGAGCTCCTCTCTGGGTTCTTGGTCTATGCACAAGGCATTAACAAGGCAGTGATAGTGGCGTACAGGAGGAATCCGCCTTAAGAGCCTTCATGGTGTTTGCAGACAGGAATTCAAAACTCTGTGGTTCTGGTTTTCTGTCGTACATCCCGACGTGGAAACTAGTTGGTGTTGAAAGCTCAAAACCTTGCCTGTATGGCAAAACTTTGCTTTTGAATAGAGGAATTGGGTCTGCTGAATGGTGGAGAAGGTGGAATAAGGCACTACCATGCAGGCAATCTGGATTCGGGAGCAAGTTCCCCCAGCACCTTTCCCAGGTCTGGGAACGGGGACGCGCTTCAACGTGTCAGGCCTAAAGCTGAAACGAAGTGGGTTGGCTGGAATGACCTGCGGTGGCCGCAGGGGAGAGGAGGGTGGTGTTGAACGAGCAGCAGGGAAAAGTGTGAACATAGATAGGACCTGGGGCTCCCAGTCAGTGATGGTCTTAAACTGCACTTTTACCGTGAGCATCTACCGTGTAACTGATCAGTGTTTTGGGATGTACCTGTAGCCTTCTTCTGAGGGTTTAAGTAATCGGGTGGGTATGCATAATCATAAAACCTCTGTTGGGTATTATATAACAGATACGCCCGTCTTTGCCTGACCAAATGTGTTAGCCGCCTGCCCGTAGTCAGAGGGCTTTAATTTCCACAAAGTGGAACAGATTTGCCCAGTTATCTTTGCTGCAGGTCTGTGGTAATGAATAACTCGGCCTATAACTTTAATCTGATGCCAAGAGAGCACAGAGTTCATGCTGGGAGCCTTAATCTCCTCTCAGGCACAATAAAGTCAAGGGCATTCTTGGGCTTTGGTGTTGTGTGTCACAGACAGCATCGATATAATATGGATTTATTCTTCAGAGTTAAGAGTATCTTAGTTGTACAGTACCACAGTACAGTCCTCAGAGCCTTGAGGTCCAGAGGACAGAAACTTTTGCTCCCCAAAAGCAAGTTTCTGGAGATGACAGACCAAGTGTGCTGAAAAACTCCGAAGCCAGCAGGAGGGTGACCCCTTCACATACTTGCTGTATATTGCAGCTGGAAACCAAACAGAAGTTCACAAAACTTTCTGCCATCTGATCGAAAAGAACACCTAGGATTGTGCTGTTATTTTAAACTGCATGAGGGTTCTGAGAATCACAGAGCTTTTGAGCTTACAGGATTATTGTGTCAGTCTAAGGGAATTTATTTTTACATTTAATTGTACTGTCCTTTATTTTCAAAATATTTTCATAGAATTGTTAAATCCGAACAACTGTGCTTTTAAGAAATTTGTCCTTTTCGTAGACTTACTTACACTGAGATGTTTTTAGAATCTGACAGGATGCCATAGGAGCGCTGGGGATTTTTGTTTACTGTTCTCTTGCTGGTAGGTTAGTGAAATACAGGCTTTATGCTGAGCCCCCCCCCCCCCCCCCCCCCAAAAAAAAATGCAGGTTCTGCTGCACTTAGCTGGATCTAGATTAGCAGAAGCATGGATGCTCTCAGGTAGTTGCTGAATTTTTCTAAAACGTAAATTTTCATTCAGTTTCTGCTTAGCTGGATTTACTAGGTCCACCTGCATTTGATTAGTTAAAAACCAAATCAGCTGTTGATCTCAAAGCCTGAGTCAAACCAGTGTGTGGGTGAGAAATCAGAAGCGGAAGCACAGTGTGTCCGTATCCAGCAGAGCTCTTGGAGCTCGAAGGGGAAGAAAATCAGCCAGTGGGGATGTGTTTGCCCCGAAGGTCTGTGCAGTGTCCTTCCTGTGAAGGAGGTGGGCCTGCGCTGCTGTTGGGTTACTAAGAGATTGGGTTTAATTTTTTTGGCAGAATCTAATGTACTGGGGTCACTTGGAGACCTGCCAGCGTGGCCGTTGGGGGAATGGTGAGATCCCAACGACGGGCACCTATGAGTTTTTTGAGAAATGGAGAATTTAATTACTGCTTTACGACCCCACGGTGCCTGCTGCATCCCGTGTCCGAATGATGTTGCTTCCCCTCCACTCCCTTAGTGTTATTCTTCCTGGGCATGGGATTATATTTTGCCAGAGGATTTTACAGCATGTAAGAAGTTCTACTGGGTTGTCTGCTCCACTAAGTTTATCTGGGTAGCTTGTGTTCACGTACTCTCCTGCCCACACTTTTGCTTTTGCTGGTTGAAATCATCCATTTGTCTCCATCTAGGGGAAAATAGAGAAAAAGCCAGAATCAGCCGCTGCTGCGCGCAAGTCTGAACCCAATGCAGTCTCTAAAATGGCTCCTACTAAAACAACCGTATCAAAAGAGGGTGCCCCAAAACAGCCCAATGGGAAAGTGAGTTTATTTCAGACTTTTCTCTGTGGGAGATGAAGGAAAGCATTTCCATTTTGAGTCACTTTCCCTTCTCTTCAACTCTTCTGCTTTCTCCTGTCAGTGTCACTGTTCTTTGCACGGACGCTCTTCCAATTCTTTCTTGTAAACCCCGAGGTGTTCTCAGCTAAACCCGTTCGGCCACGCCTGTCGTAGGGACCTTTTCCATGCCTGCTGCAAAGGTGACTGTTTTCGGAGCGGAGCCCTCCATTTTCCCTTCTAGGCGGATGGGCTTAACTTCGAGCCGGAGGTTTCCCTCACAACCAGGTCTTCCTACGCAGCGCTGGTTTGTAACTGGGAGGAGAGGTTTAGGTCAGTGCCGCTTGGTTTGAGATCCCAGAACATTAAGGGCATCCTCTCGTTCCTGCGCTGTGCCCCACGCAGCGGTGGGTGAGCTCCCAGCTCCCCGCGTCGGGCGGTCGCCGTCGGGGGGGTTACCCCGCCGCTGTCGTGACAGGCGGTTCCAGCACGAGCGGGTGGGGGGCGAGGGGGGGGGGGGGCGCCGGGGGTGCTGCTCGCCTTCAGGCCTGCTCAGGCAGAGCTGGTACGGGGCGGGCGGGAAGCCGGAGCCCCCGCGCCCGCCCGCGGCACCGGTACGGTTGCGGAGCTGCCCTTGTGCTGAATCCAGTCTTCCTGAAGTGGCGGAGGAGCTTTTGGAAACCTGCTGAAGTGAGAACGTCCTGGTGATTCCTTTTGTGCTTTGGATTTATCACCTCTTTCTAGAAAGTGGGGTACAGCTTCTGCCACGTTTTGTGCTGTGTTAAGTAACCCCCAGACTAAACACGCGTGTCATAACTAACCTTTGTAAACGCAGGCCTGTTACTCTCACTCAGTCACTGCCTTTGTGAGTGAAAGCTCACCTAGCGCACTCCTTTCGTACTGGAGAAAGTCCAAGTCATTTTAGTTTGAAGGAGAAACAATTAAGATAAGACAGGCCTGATCAGCTTTAACAACCCTCATCAGAAGAGTTGTTTCTCAGACCCGGGCTTCACTGCCCCGCGGTTTTGGAAGAGGTTACCCGGGACTGGAGCCAGGCCAGGCAAATGGAAGTTTGCTGGGCAGCCGGTGGGGCTGCTGGGAGGCAGGCGGCCCCCGCGCGGGCTCCCCCTGCCCCGGGGGGCTGCGCTGTGGGGCAGCCCGGCCCCCCCGGCGCGCAGGCGGGCGCCCTCCGGGCGGGGGGAGCCCCCCGGGGTGTGCGGAGGAGCCGTCCTCACGGCAGCGCTTGCGCTCCCGCACTAACACTGTCTGTGCAGCCTCTCCTTTCGTTCACTTCTCTCTCACTTTCCTCCTCCGTTGCTTTCACACCTAATACCGCAGTTGGGTTGAGTTTAACACAACTCTTTGTTTTTCTGCCGTGTTAGAGCATCCACTCCAGCCTGCCGTATGACAACTCTAACCAGTCCTCTTCCCTTGTGTTGTTTTCCATTCTGTAACATTCCAGGTCCAGATAGTCTCCAAAAAAGCGAACTACAGCCATGTTCAGTCCAAGTGTGGTTCCAAGGACAATATTAAGCATGTCCCTGGAGGTGGGAATGTAAGTATGGGCTCTGGGCAAGCTGTCTTTCTACTAACTCCCTCTCTTGTACTTATGTTTTTATATGTCAGTCTGAAGAATGCTCTGTTTCGGGCAGAAAGGTGTGGCAGAGTTTCAGGGCTTCTGGAAATAATGTAGGCTGGAGAATTTTTTTTTCTATTTTTTTTTTTCCCCTCCATGGGATGCTAGGTTGAATGCGTGTGTTTTGTTTCGTAGCACTACAGATACACCTGACCTATTAAATGTGTGGTATTCGTGACCAAAGGGAGGGTGTGCACATCGTTGACCCCAGGACTTAGCTGGCTGTGGATTCCCTCTGCAGCCCGTGGAGGCACCCTCTCAGTCCTCTGACCTATTTTAGACGTCTGATTTTTCAGATGAAATCAATTGTGGCCTAGAAGTGCCCGTTACTCTTCACTGGCTAATAGAGCAAGCCTGAGTCAGATTAATTTCACTTCTTGTTTCACAAGAAGGAAGACTTTGAAAAAGGAGGAGGAAAAGACTCTGGGACTTAATCTTTGAGCTGCAATTAATTTCTAAATTTAAAGGCTACTGGTATCTCTGGCAGCGGAGCTGAGCTTATTAAAATAGAAGGCTAATCTTGTAATGTCTGTGTACTTGGATTGCAGGATTCTACCCTGAATGTTTGTCAAAAAACCCCCAGGTTAACTCTCTAGATGCTAACGCTTTTGAAAGCACGACTGTAGTTTGGCAGGCCTGTTGCCTTGTGGGCACACCTGTACTACCTTAAATCTGCGCTAGGCCGTTCGTACTAGGGATAGCTTGCAGCGAGACAAACATGGGGTGGTTGCAAAAAGCCGGTGGAAGCACTGAAGCCCAAGAAAGCTTTTTCCTTCGGTGTTCAGCTACGCCACGTTCCCGAGGAGCCCCGTCCAGCTGTCAGACCTTGTGGTGCTTTACGCCCAGTGCCTGCGAGCCAGCACGGGTGAAACTCCCTGCAAATTCCGAATGTCCGGGGCTGTAGTCAGCGTGTGCTGTCCGCCTGGCTCAGCGGGTACGAGTGCTGGGCAGGACCTGCCTGTGGTGCAAACCGCCGCGGCCGCTTTGCCTGGGAAATGTATGTGGGTTTGTCTAGCTGGCTGAACCTTTACGTGGCCAGTTCTTCCTTAAATCTTTCCAAGAGGCGACCGACTCGGGGTTCTTAACAACCTCGTTCCCTACAGGTTGGTGGAAGGAGACAGATCTTGAAGTCACACGCGCAGTGCTCACTTAACTTCCCATCGGGAGTCGCTGGGCACGCGTCTCTGCTGCCCCTCCTTGCCTTCCAGTTTGCAGATCCTCGCCAGTGGTGGGATTTGCCATCCTTATTTCATATTTCCATGACTTACCCGGCGCTCAGAGGAGCACACACGTGTGTGTGTGGAGCCTCCCATAGCACTGCTCACGCCAGAGAATTCGCTGCGCCGTAGTAAGAAAAGCTGATGTCAGGACCAGCGTGTCGATTAGGTGCCCTCATAATCTTTTTCGGCTGCGCACGTTTCTGTTCCTGCTGCATATTTCAGCTGGTTTTGTCACCCAGGTTTGGAACGGAACGTTTATACGTCATCAGTGTTTTGTGGCAGAAGTCCCTGTGGCTGTACTGCTAAAGAGCAGCTGCTGCAACCTCCCAGCTCCTGCACTCGAAGGAGCTGTATTTCATAAGCCGCTTTAATTTTGCTGCTCTTCCCTTGTATAGCCTTTTAGTGGACAACAAGTCTCACACATACTTTTCCTTTTTTTTGAGGCCAACAGAAATGTGTTTTAAATGTGGGGGGATATTTTTTTTGTTTAACTACGTTAGTCAACTGTTCCTTCCTCTAATGAAACAACAAAGTCCTCTCCTGGGGACGTTCCCGACTCTAGGGGACAAGTTGTGTGCCTGCTTTCTTTTCCTCTCCCACACTCTCCTCCTACCACTGCAGTTTTCCTCCTTGTTCAACTACTTAAGCCTTTTGCTTTGAGAATGAAGTGCTGCTTTTGCCCAGGTTCCCGATGCCCCCCACGCAGCTTCAGGCAGTACCACTGTGAGTAAAGGAGACGCAGTGGCCGATCTGCCTTCCTAGAAAAGCATTTCCTTTTCTTCATTTTTATATCTGCTCACTCCCTTCGGGGCACTGTGATATTGGTGTCCTCTTCCAAAGATGTTTTCTTGTTCAAACAGTTACGATGATCACTTCTGATAAAAGACTTCCCGGTGTTTATCTCCCGAACCGCCCCACTGATGGGGGATGGCTGGGGAGCCCGTTGTTATAGCCCATGGCTTCGGTTAGAGCTTTTAGGAATCCTGGGGGCAGGAGCTGGGGTTAGTAGCAAATGATGATTCAGCTTTCGGGTTACTCTGGTAGAAGGGACGGGCATCCTACCTAAGTGAAGTGGGTCCTAGCTGGGGCACTCTGCGTCCCCATTTTGCCTTCTATACGTGGAGATAATTTCTCTTCCCCTCCAAGATCCCCAAGAAGACCTGTTCAAAAGCAGTAGATGCTGTTCCTACTCACATTACGTTTGCCAGAAACACCGTGACGCAAACGTAGTTAGGTTTCCTGGGTAAAAGCTTTTGTTGTGTTTTAGTATTTCCTCCCTTTCTTTTTAAAGAGAGCAACAGTAAAGAGGGAGGTTTTACGAAGTGCAGGTGGTGTACACGCTGTTGAAGGTTTAACAAGGTGATTTGGAATGTACATATGTTTCTCTACCCTTTGGCTTGACCCGCTTGGATGGATTGGGAAATGGGTAGGGATGGAGAATTTAAGAATAAATGAGTATAGCACTTCCCATCTGAGCCTCTGTGTCAAGCTTTCAGGTCTAAAGTTTATTTCTGACGCCACAGCCTGAGTACTTGGCTCTAGAAATGCAAGCCCAGTCCTTTAAACGTGTCTCCCACTGCAAACTCAAAACAGCTGATGTTAGAAATCGTACGAGAAATACACTTCCATGTCGGTATAATTGTTTGGATCCTCAGGTAAAATCCCGAGGAGTCATAACTGGGTATGTCTAGCCTAGCTGATGAAAAACATCATTATTTTTAAATAAGTTCTGTGAAATAAATTTAGCTCTATTCCAGTTCCAAGCAAACAAGTACTCATGATAAAAGCTGTAATAATTTCACCAGCAGCCCCCAAGAAAATCAAATTCAGTAGCTGTGATCTCGCCCTTTCGGAGTGTCTGGTGTCACTGAATCAGGGTACACGAAGGGGGAAGAGCGTAGCAGGAGGCCGAACTGTGCTGTCCTCCTCACTGTGAGCAAACAAGACATCGGGGCTTTGAGTCATCCCTCTTCACAAGTAGGAGGAGGATTCGTGCTTCCTGAAAAAGATGCAGCGCAAATGATCATGATCGTTCTCAATAAGCTTTTAGAGTAGCCGGTAAGTGAATGAATCCTTGTCATGTTGAAAAGGAAAGGTTTTCGTTTTCTCCGCGAGATGATCTATAGCAGAACTTTCTGTGCGTGTAGCTGTCAGCTGGCGGTTGCTGATGCGACCAGGAGAGGTTTGTCCTCTTAACGTTACTACCAAAAAACCCCAGATTTTTCCCGTGGAAAGTGAGAATGTCAACTCAGTAGGGGGTTAGACCAGATGATGACCTGAAGTTCCTTCCAGTATAACTTATCCTGTGTTTGTATGAAATGAAAGGTCCGTGAGTAGTTAGACAGTAAGTTCATTCTGGAGTAGAGGAATTTTTCATCCACCTGGAGCTACAGGAGGAATTTTAAAGATGTCAGAAATGGGGCTGTGTACAACGCACTCAAAGATGAAATGTATTTTGAGCATTAAACCTGTGCCATTTTGACCCCACGTTTGTCCTACCCCAGAGAAGACACTTCTCCCCAAACTCAGTGAGGTCCCCAAACACCGTGCTGGAACGTTTAGCTCGTTGACTTGGAAGAAGGTCGTTTCCTGAGTCACGAATATCTCGTGCTTTCAGGACTGAAGGTTTTGTGTGCCACCGTTGAGTCACTGGCAGAACGAGGTTGAAGGAAATAATACTGGGGAGTAGCTTCCCCTCCCCCCCCCCCCCCCAGGGCTCGGGCTCGGGGGAGGACAGCTTCTCGGGCACGATGGTCCCTCCCGGGGTCCCGCTCGCCGCGGGGAGCCCGGCGGGGGGCCGTGGGGCGGAACGCGCGCGTTGGGGGTGGAATGCGTGGGAGCTGGTGGCACGTCTGTGGCCCCCCAGGGGGAAGGGTGGCTGGGCCGAACCCTGAGGTGACACCTGCCCTGGGGGGTGTCTGGAGCCGCCCGGGCCCTGGCCCGTGTCCTCAGAGGCAGAGACAGGCTGGGGAGGGGGACCGGCTTTTCGTGGTCCCTCTGCCAGGTGCTTTTGCCGTCCACGGGTGTGCCGTGACCTCCAGCCTCCCGTTTCTGGTCACGGTCCATCTCTTAGTTTTGCCTGGCCTCAATTTCTGCCTGCTCCCGTTAGCCACTTCGGGCTGGTGCAGGCCTTTAGATAACGCTAAAGCGTTCGGCACGCGGTGGCAGGGAAATCAGTATGAAAAATACAATACGGTGGAAAAGGGGGGCAGGTTAACTAAGCGTGACCCGGTGTTCGAGGTGGCCCGCTGACCTCCAGATTCACAGGAAATGTTTCTCTGTGGTGAGTTGTTTGTTTTTGCCTCCTCAGGTGCAGATCCAGAACAAGAAAGTTGACCTTTCCAAAGTGTCCTCGAAGTGCGGCTCTAAAGCAAATATCAAGCATAAGCCAGGTAGAAATTTCACCATTTCCTCATCGTTTGTCTGTAGATATTGCACGTCGCTTAAATGTAGTCCTGGACTGCGGGTGAAATAGTTGAAGAGGTTTGTTGTGCTCAGGGAGTATTTCTAGAGGTACTAAAGCTTCTTTAGCAATTCCTGGTGGTTTCGTGGGTGGAGAAGGGGACTGGGAGATGGGGGATTTCCTCTTGCCTGTGAAGATAATCTTCTGCTTTGACAGAGTTCTCTTTCTTCTTCCCTTCTCGTTTGGAAGAAAAAAAAAAAACAAAAAACAAAACAAAACAACAAAAAAAAACACAAAAAACAAACAAAAAAACTAAAAAAGGCAGATACTTACCATGACCATTGCAGGAGTCTGACAAGTTCACCCGTGCTCACAGAGAGCGCTGGGGCTCTCAACACCTGCGTGCTAGGGAGGGATAAAGTAACTTCCCTCTGATTCTTCAAAGCAGGTACAAGGGTCTTTTTTTTTTTTTTTTTTTTTTTATATATAAAACACCCTTGGCTCTTTAATGACCTCTTACGGGATGAGTGTGCGGGGATTCCCTGCTTCCCACTGAGCACGCAGCAATTACTCTGCGTGAATTGCTGGGAATCCCGGGTTCCTGGGCAGGTCAGCGCGCGGCGGCCCCACCTTTGTGGCATCCTAAAGCACAGTCGCCGCTTTGTGGGTATCTGAGGACAGTTCCCTGCCCAGGAGAACCCCTGGCAGTCCAACAGCCGTGCGCGAGGGGCAAAGTTCATCTGCCTGAAGCGGAAAACGAAATGCCTGGAGCTTGTCTGTGCTCCTAGGAGCTCCCGGCGCCCTTCCTGCCAGCCGGTTGGGTTGAAGGCAGCTCAGCCTCGCGCACCGAGCGCCACGGCTCGGTGCCTCCAAACCCGCGCCCGCTTTGGGAACCTGGGGCCACGAGCACCGCCTCTGTTTATTCAGTGCTCTCTGGTAACGAGCTGTGCGTGACAATTACTGCTCTTGTCCAGGGCAGATTAAAGCAGAATAATCCATCCGTCTGTTGTCAGATGTTTTAACCGATTTTGTTAGACTGAATCAGTTGGCTTCCGTCGCTGGCCATGCCAAGCCTCCGGAGCGCCAAGGGCTGAGTATTCAGTGATGTCACTGGGAAGCAAAGTTCTCCCTGGCAATACTGAGAGAGTTTTTTTTTGAGAGACCTCCTGGAATGTGGACTGCATGTATAATCGTATATATTAATGGAAACTGTGGCATTCTAGATATAGGAGAATCTCGCTGGGAAGGTACAGTTGTTTTTCTGACCTTGAGGTTCTCCTGAACCTGGTGTCCATCCAGCCCCCACGCTTGGCGTCTCCCTGCCCGCGCGTGGGTCTGTGTGTCGGGGAGGGAGCTGTCGGTCCGGGCAGGCAGGGAGCTGCCAGGGATGGAGTAGGAGCGGGAACAGATCACAGACAACAAAAAGGAGCAGAAGGCCTCCCGGCGCCGCCGCCGCAGACGGGCTGAGCTGGCAGAGGCCTTGGCGAGGGACCCGGGTGGGAGTGGGCAGCTGGTGTCGGCCGTTGGAAACGCCCCAGCATGGGGTCGGGGTGGAAGCGGCGTGTCACGCCTCGGGTGGGGGGAGGCAGATTCCCAAGCAGAGCTAGCGAGGCGGTGGGCGAGAGGGCATCTTCCCAACTGCCTGTGCGGGCACCCCCAGGCTCTGCCCTGCAGCCCTCCTTGCCTGCCCTGTTGCTTGGCCTGCACGGGGGGGAAATCCCCAACTTTCACCTTGCCGCTGTGGAAACGGAACCTTGACTGGAGTGGGACCCAGGCGCTTAAACGTATGAGTTGGTCCTGCCCCTCCTCCTCCCCCAAAGTACATGGAGCCCCCAGCGGTTCCTCGGGGACGGGGGCAGGTCTCGGGTGGGGCCGTGCTGGGGGCAATTAATAAACTCGCTCCCACGCGATCCTGTGCTAGGCGGAGGAGACGTCAAAATCGAGAACCAGAAGCTGAACTTCAAGGAGAAGGCCCAGGCCAAAGTGGGATCTCTGGACAACGTGGGACACTTGCCAGCAGGAGGAACTGTGAAGGTGGGTGCTGCAAGCCCTGGCACATTGGGGTCGGGTTTAAATTTGGGTCTTCTCCTTGTGCTGCTGCTGACGCAGTGCAGCTCCTCCACCCCCACCCAGCCTTTTGTAGCCAGCTACATATTTCCGGAGCCTCGGTTGTGAACCCCCCGAGCAGGTGTGAGTTGGAAAGGCAGAGCGCCGTGCCCCACCTCGGGGGGGCTCCCTGCCAGCCGCCCTCAGCGCTGCGCCTTTCCCCTGAGAACCTGAGCGCAGGGATTGCTCTGTAAGCTGTCAGCCCGCCAGAGAAGCTGCCTGTGGCCTTTTCCCCCTATTTTTTTTTTTCTTTTTTTTTTTTTTTTCCCCAGTAAAGCTGGATGAGATTAAAGTGCTGCGTGCTGGGAGGCAGCACCTCGCAGCGCTGGGGAGCCCCCCCTAACCTGCCCAGCAGCCCAGCCCAGAGGCCCTTTGTGTGAGGAGGGGAAAAAGAGAGAGAGAGAAAAAAAAAAAAAAAAAAAAAAAAAAAAGGTTGTGCTCTCGTGGCTTCTCCCCCCTGAGAACGTGAACTGCCCCCAGCCCGGGCTCTGCAAAATGCAGCTCTGGCTCCAGCAGCACCACATCTGTGCTTGGGGGGGGTGGGGGGGTGGGGGGGTGGAAATCACACCCCCAGCCCCCCGGGGGATTGGGTGGGTGAGTGGGCTCGCCCCGCCACGCCAGGTAACCAGGGGAGCTGTGCTGGGGGCTGTGTTTAGGTAATCACTAACGTGGCTTTGGCGTGAAACACCGCTGCTTCCGAATTGGGTGGTAGCTCTGGAAGCGGAGAAAATAATCCTGTGCTCCAGCATCAGAACTGTTAAAGCATGACTTTTAGTCTTTGCCCCCAGCAGGACAGAGGGAGGAGGAGAAAGCCCTTCCGCACAGCGAGTTCCCTTGGTTGTCCCAGCGCTGTTTGGTTTGAGCACTTTTATGTTGTGGAGGGGTTTAGAGTTCAGCCGGCTTGAGCTGTTGTGTTAAATGCCGTGTGAATTTGAAAGAAATAATCCCTGTCCTAAAGAGCGGATCACGCAGCAGGATTCACAAGTGTGTTTAGTCCGTTGCTTAATCACCCCCGTTGATGATGAGGTGACTGCCAGGGTATTTCCTGGGGGCAGAGCAGGGCTCTGCGACCTCCCGTCCTTCGTGTCACCTTCAGCCCAACACGACGGGGCCGACCTCCCTGACTTGGGCCCCGCTGGGTGTTGGTTGGGTCCCCGTGTTCTCAGTGTGTCCCCAGACGACGAAGTCCCCAAACCTCGTCCTCGCTTTTGTCCCCGCGGCTCTTCGCTTGGGCCCCGTCAGCGCCTTTGCTCGGCCTCGGCCTCGGCCCTGCTCCGGGCCATGGGTGCTGAGCTCTGGGTGCTGAGCTCCAGGCCGTGGGTGCTGAGCCCCGGGCCGTGGGTGCTGAGCTCTGGGCCGCGGGTGCCGAGCCCTGGGTGCTGAGCTCTGGGTGCTGAGCTCCAGGCCGTGGGTGCCGAGCCCCAGGCTGCTGGTGCCGAGCTCCGGGCCGCGGGTGCTGAGCCCCGGGCCGCGGGTGCTGAGCTCCGGGTGCCGAGCCCTGGGCTGCGGGTGCTGAGCCCCGGGCCATGGGTGCCGAGCCCTGGGTGCTGAGCTCTGGGTGCTGAGCTCCAGGCTGCGGGTGCCAAGCCCTGAGCCGTGGGTGCTGAGCCCCGGGCCGCGGGTGCTGAGCCTCGGGCCGCGGGTGCCGAGCCCTGGATGCTGAGCCCCGGGCTGTGGGTGCCGAGCCCCGGGTGCTGAGCCCCAGGTGCCGAGCCCCGGGCCATGGGTGCTGAGCCCCAGGTGCCGAGCCCCGGGCCGTGGGTGCTGAGCCCCGGGCCGTGGGTGCCGAGCCCTGGGTGCTGAGCCCCGGGCCGTGGGTGCTGAGCCCTGGGCCGTGGGTGGAGCCCCGGGCTGCGGGTGCTGAGCTCTGGGCCGTGGGTGCTGAGCTGCGGGTGCTGAGCCCCGGGCCGTGGGTGCCGAGCCCTGGGTGCCGAGCCCCGGGCCGTGGGTGCCGAGCCCTGGGTGCTGAGCCCCGGGCCGTGGGTGCCGAGCCCCGGGCCGTGGGTGCCGAGCCCTGGGTGCTGAGCCCCGGGCCGTGGGTGCCGAGCCCCGGGCCGTGGGTGCCGAGCCCCGGGCCGTGGGTGCCGAGCCCTGGGTGCTGAGCCCCGGGCCGTGGGTGCCGAGCCCCGGGCCGTGGGTGCCGAGCCCTGGGTGCTGAGCCCCGGGCCGTGGGTGCCGAGCCCCGGGCCGTGGGTGCCATGCTCTGGACCCCGCGCTCGGGGACGCGGGGACTGGGAAGCCGGCCAGGACGGCAGTGTGCCGGGGAGCGGAGGGGGCCGCTTCCCCCCCCCCCCCCCCCCCGTCCCTGCGCGGGTCTGGGCAGGCGGGGAGGGCGGAGGGGACCCCGGGAACCCTCCCTCCACCCCCCCCCCCCCCCAAACCCCGCACCCCCAGCTCCTACTGACTCGTCCCTGTCCCCCCCCCCCCCCGTTGTCTCACTGCAGGCGGAGGGGAGCGCGGAGCCAGGGCAGCTCCCGCCGCCCCCCCAGAACGGGGAGGTGGCAGCGGCCCAGGCAGGCGGCGCCGGGCGGGAGCACGGCGTGGGGCCAGCAGCGCCCGCTGCCCCGAGCGGTGCCGACCAGAGGGGAATTCAGAGCTTCGAGACTCAGATACAAGAAACAAGTAAGTGCCGGCGGCTCCTCTCACGGCTCCGCGCCGGGTGGGCCGGGGGGGGGGGAGCACTGCGGCAGGGCCGGGTGACGGGAGCGTTGAACTGTTTGTAGCGACGGCTGCAGGGTGTTCTTGCCTTTTTTGTTAATTCAGAAAATTGCCTTTTATTTTCCAGGCATCTAATGATGACATTATGGTATCGTCTTCCTGTCCCCTCTCTCCTCCTCCTGCCCTTCCCCTCCTCCCCTGCCCTTGTGTCGCTGCAGATTGAACCTCCCAAGCTGACGTTCCGGGAGCGGGCCAAGGCTCCGACGGACCACGGAGCGGAAAGCGTCGTCTCCAAACCCCCCCACCTCTCCAGCAGCACCTCCTCCCCCCGGCGTGGCACATCCATCAGCCAGAGCCGGGGCTCAGTCGCCTCCTTGTCACCGCTGCAACAGCCAGCTCCCCTCGCAGCGCTTTCTCAGCAAGGCTTGTGACCCCCCCCGCCCCCCCCCCCCCGTGCTCCCCAGCCTGACACAGCTTGGCTCTCTTAACCCGGCGCCTGCCCGTCGCTGGGCCGGGGGGCTGCCGGCTCCCCGTGGCCCCCCCCCCGGCACGCCGGGCTCTGGTGCTCCCCCCCTCTGGGCAGCCTCACCCCTCCCCACCTCCGCTTCACCCCTCTGCGCTTCGGGGGGGGCACCGGGGGTGGGCGGCCAGCGCCTTCGGGGGGGGGACGGGCCCTGGGCCGGGCAGGAGCCCGCCCGCACTGCGGGGGCTGGAGCCAGGCCGGAGTTAACAGGGATAAGCTGTGATCTTGCTTTCCGTCTTTTTTTTTTTTTTTTTTTTTTTCTGGAAAAAAAAAAAAAAAAAAAACCCAAAAACCAACACCAAAACCCCAACCTCTTCCTCCTGGCTGCTTCAGTTTCTGCTGATCCTGTTTGATGACGATAGGTATTACACACACGTTAGGCTGTTTTAACTGTTGACTTTAACCTTTTATTCTTTGTGACGATGTGTTGATGATTTATCGTGCCCCAAACCCATGCTAAGTTTCCTTTTCTCTTTCCTAACCGTAGGCGAGTAGAGACATTAACCGCTGCTGCAGTGCTGGCTTCTTACTGACATATCCAGCAATTGTAACTTTTTTGTCGTTTTGTTTTTGTTTTGGGTTTGTTTGTTTGTTTGTTTGTTTTTTTGATTAGGTTTTTTTTGTTTTTTGTTTTAATATTTTAAAACGATGGAGCAAATTCGTGGGATTTAAGCCATGTCTGAAATGAAAGGCACAAGAATGTGTTAAAGGAAAATTTGCTGTAACAGATCAGATGAAGCCTGTGTTGACTGCAACGAGACGTGTTGCATCGATGCTCGTAAAACCTCCTGCAGGGCCAAACCGCCAGCCCGGGAGGGTTCCTAGGACCTGCTGCGCATTAAGGCAAAGTCAGTTTATTTATTAACTTGCCCCGCCAAAGCCCTGGGATTCGGATTTTTCCAGCCAGGGCCTGGGGGGGGGAGGAGGCAGGAGGCTGCTCTCGCGTGGAGTTGCAGGTTGAGGCAGGCGGTGAGTGCTGAGGCAGAAGGGGCTGTGGTGTGCGTGTGCGGTGCCGGAGGTGTCGGGGGGGGGACACGGCTCCGTCAGGCTGAGTGGGGCCGGGGGGGGGGACGCCGCGGGCAGAGAAGGGCTGGGGCAGGGGAGGCCGGTTCCCGATGCCGGCGAGGGGCAGCTCAGACTGGGAAGGAGATTTTTACCTGCTGGGTGAGGCGTGAGCTCCTCGTTTTCCTGTTGCGAATGACACTAAAGAAACGAAATGTAAATAAATTAAAAAAAAAAAAAAAAAAAAAAAAAAAAAGCGCGTTCTTGGGTCGTCAAACTAATTTAAAGCAAAAACCGGGGTTGGGGTGGGGGGGGAAGCCGAATAACAAAACACTGGGATCAAAGTGACCTGAACCAGGCGCGTGCTGCGGGGGGGCTGGTCAAGGAGGGGACAGAGGGAAGCCTGCAGCTTCTCATGCTTGTGGGGAAAGTTCCTTGGGAAGCCGACAATGACACGAGATAACCCGGAATCTGTATTTACACACAAAGATTCTTATTGCACTTGTATTTTTTATATTAAAGTTTGCATGATTTCTAATAAAATGGCATTAAAATGTACTAGTTTGCATCAAAGTCGTCTGCTAGTTTCATAAGTGCTTTTTCCTCTGAAATACAAATTTAAATAAGCAATGCAGATTTGCACCTGAAAGGGGCGGTTATATATACCCCAGACAACTCCCAGTGCTTCCCTTCCTCTTCCTCCTCTTCCTCCTCCTCCCCACCTCTCCCTCCCGGCCCCTGCCCTCTAACCCCCGGCCGGGGTGAGCGGCCAGCCCGGGCCCCCCCCTCGCTCCCAGCACCGGGGGGAGAGGGGCTGGGGCTGGGCGGGGGCTCGGGCCCCTCCGTCCTCCCGGGCGCCGGGCCGATGCCCGAACCCCTCCAGCCGCTCCCCCTCCCCGCATGCTGCCCCCGGTATATATCACTGCCCCTTCGCTGAGCTTCCTTCTTACCGCTAAATTCTAAACACCAGCTTGATCTTGTCAACCTTGGGTTTGCTTTTGGTTGGTTTGTTGTTGTCGAGGGTTTTTTTTGTTGTTGTTGTTGTTGTTGTTTTGTTGTTTGGTTTTTTTTTTTTTTTTTCCAACACTTGAATCGAGGGGAAGTTTGGTGGCGAGGGGCTGGAGAGGCGAGTGGGCTGATGCCCTCGGCGGGAGGAGGCAGAGCTGAGCGTCCCCGAGCAAGGCCCTGGCCCTGCACCGGGCTCGGGCAGGAGCTCCGAGAGGGTCCTGGGCCCCCCCGGGGGCGCACGGGGAGCCGGGGGGTCGGAGGTGGTTGTTGGTGAAGCAAAGAGGAGGTGGAGGCTGGAATGTCGCGTTCCTCTGGCTGCTCTGCCCGGGGCGGGAGAGGGGAGGCAGCCGGGTCCTGCTCTGGGTTCAGGTGCTGCAGGAGGGAAGCAAGTGGCAACATTGCACTTTATCTGCTGAGATTGCAAAAAAACAAACAAACAAACGAACAAAACCCCAGGCAAGCAAACCTGTAACACCCTGCAAAGGGACAGGAACGCCACCTTCTCCCCCTGCATTGCTTTTATCTGGTTTCTTGACTGCCCGGCAGTCTCGGATAAGGCTTTCACGTCTGCGTGCGGCTGCGTCCCGGCCCGACTGAACATGCACAAACCTTCCCGACTGCCCCGCGGCGCGGCCGACCTGTGCTTCTGTGCCACTTTCTCTAACACTTGTTGTGCCTGTGTTTCGCTGACAAACTAAATCCAGATACACTAGTTCGGTGTGGTTTTTCTAGGACAGCTTTGGTTTTATTGAGGATTCTTTTTTTTTTTTTTTTTTTTTAATTTTATGTCAAGGAAACAGCTGTACATATCGCTAGCCTGGGGAAAGATCCGTGTGTGGTGAAAATGACTTTAGTTTCCTATCTGGAGAGCTGGGAGTGAGCGGGTTAGTGCCGAGACCTTCGCTGAGGTCTGTGGAGAAGCTGCTGGCCGGCCGAGCGCCCGCGCAGAGCGGGGCTGGGGGCTGTGCTGGCTGTTGGCTGGATCTGAGCGTTGAGGTTGCAAATTCCTGTGGGGGGGGGTGAAAAAAAAAAAAAAAGTCGTGGTCTGAGTTAGGTGCAACGTGAATGTACACGGTCCCGTCCTGTGATGCCGCTGGTGGGGCCTGGCTTTGCTCTGTGTGACTCCGCTGGCAGGGCAGGCAGTGAGGGGGGCCGGGGGGCCGGGGCAGCGCGCTGGTTTGGGGGAAGCCGTGGGCTGGGGCACGGCGGGAGCGTGGGCAGCCTCGGGCGAGCTGCTCAGCAAAGCCCTTTCCTGGGCTCGTGGTCGGGGTTGAGCGTTGGCTCGGAGGTGTCGGAGCCGCTGAAGGGCTGAGAAAGCCGAGTGGGCTGCGGGAAGGGCCGGGGGGTGTCGGGGGCTCCATCCCCCCCCCGGGGCTCTGGCAGGCACGAGGCTGCCCCACGGCCCCGGCTGCTCCACTGTGTCCGGGCTGCTGGAGCCCGGCGTCTCCCCGCAGTAGCAGTGGCACACACGGTTACTTGGGGGCTTTTTCTACTGTTCGAGTACATTCACGTAACCAAGGTTGTGGGCTTGAGGCCACGGGAGCGGCGGCGGCTTTGCTGCTGCCCCCAGCGAACGCCTCCCCTTGCGTCGGAGCCCTGGCCGCAAACTGAATGTAGTTTGCTCTGCTGGCCCGCGCTGTCGTCCCCCGCGTAGTGTCGCTGTGCGAGCGGGGCTCTAGGCCCCTCGGCTGTCCGGGTCGTTTAGGCAGAATTTCTAGTTTTTGCGGCCCGCGACCGGCGCTTGCTGGCGGCGACGTGGGGGCTCCTGCGCCCTCCCAGCCCAGTGCTGTCCCCTCGAAAGGCCGAGGAAGCAGGAGGCGGGCGCTGGCTTTGCCCCCTCTTCACCACCCCCAAATCCAGCAAGAGCAAGCGGTCGCCTTCGCCCGCCCCTCGCGTCCCGCTGGCCACGCGCTGGTGTGGCGGAAGAGCTCGGACGCGGGATTCCCCTCCTGCCCCCGCTGTGCCCGTCCCACCCCAGCGCCTGCAGCTTCGCTTACCCCGTACCGCGGGTACGAGTGACCTGGGGGGGGGGGGGGGGGGGTGTTGGCCCAAGGAGGGGGGCGTTTACCCACTCTGCCTCAGTTTCCCCACCCGCAAGGTGGGGGCTGACGCTGTTTCCCTCCCCAGGGTGGCACGAGGGGCCAGCAGGGCGTGAAGGGGGCTCTACGTGTGACGTAGTGTTATTATTTCGTGTCCCAGGCTGAGTCGGCGTTGGCCCCGGCGCAGGGTGCTGCCCCAGGAGGGGGTGCTGCCCCAGGAGGGGGTGCTGCCCCAGGAGGGGGTGCTGCCCCAGGAGGGGGGTGCTGCCTGAGGAGGGGGTGCTGCCCCAGGAGGGGGGTGCTGCCCCAGGAGGGGGTGCTGCCCCAGGAGGGGGTGCTGCCTGAGGAGGGGGTGCTGCCCCAGGAGGGGGTGCTGCCCCAGGAGGGGGTGCAGCCGGCGCCGGGGCGAGTGACAGGGTGGTACCGGGGGGGGGGGGGTTGGGGGCTGTAAGGCCTGAGACAACAGCTGGGGCGGGGGGGGGGGGGGGGGGGCAGAGCCCCTCCTGCCTCCCAGTCACTTCATTCTGGTTTTTTGCTTCTGCCTTTCTGTCTCGCCCCCCCCGCGAGGGGCTGTAAGGCTGTCGTCTCCTTAGCAACATTTCCTGACTTGATGTTGTGATTCTTACTATTGTAAAAGGGTTGAAATAAAGCTTCTAGATGTTCCTCCTCAGTGTGGGTGTGAGTTTTTTGGGGGGGGAGGGCTGGGGACCGCCCCCCCTCCTTGTCCTACTGGGGCCAGAGGACAGCAGAAAGAAGGGGGGGGGGGGGGATGGTGGGGTCTGATCCTGGGAAATTCCCCCATCCCGGGCTCCAAGGGGAGCGGGGTGCTGGGCTGGCACCAGGGACCTGCCACCACCCCCCAGGACACTCACCCCGTGCCGGTGGCACCGGGGGGGTGTGTGTGGGGGGTGTGTTCCTCCTCCCAGCCGTGGCTGTGCCTGAGGGGGTGACCCCCAGGGCCCCCACCCGTTCTCCCCACAAGCAGAGCTGTTTTCTACCCTGCAGCGGGGGTTTGCCTCAGCTCCTGTCCCGCCCCCCCAAACACCCCCCCCCCCCCCCAAGGCCATGCCCTGGCAGCTGCCGAGCCCCGGGGACCCCTGTGACACCCCAAGATCCTCCCACTCCCCCGCCGAGTCTTTTCCCCCCTTCCCTGCAGCTGCACCCCCCAACGCGCCTTCTGCCCGCTGCAGCCACAGCCCGGGTCACAGCCCCCCCCATCTGGGGTCAAACCCCTCAATCTGGGGTGAACCCCCCAAGCTGGGTCAGAGCCCCCAAACTGGGTCAGAACCCCCAAACTGGGTCAGAACCCCCCAGTCCCGGGGCAGAGCCCCCCATCCCGGGGCAGCCCCGCCACTCAGGCGCACGCCAGCAGCTCTCCCCTCCCTGCCACCACACCAAGAAGCTTCAACTGTTGCTCAGCTATTAAAAAAAAAAAAAATAGAAATAAAAGAATGAAGAGGACAGAGGCAGTTACTACTCTATCCCTTTTTATTGTCTTTAATCTATGTTGTAAAAAGATCCAGTATCACATAACAGCCACTGAAGTATCCCAATATCACACTAGTTCTGAACCATTTAGACAATAGCTTAGTCTTTTTTTTTTTTTTTTTGGCTTTTTTTTTTTTTTTTTTTTAAACCTGCTGGAAGGGAAAACCATACTGCCCATTATACAGGCCAAAAGAAACAAACACTGGTCAAATAATAGTGACAACCTCAAGCAAGTGAAATGAAGATGAAAACCTCTGCGTGACCCCAGGCCGCGGGACTCCGCTGGCCCCCCAGCTCCCGGCCCCCAGCCCCGGTGCTCTCTGGAGCCGTGGGGCTCCCGCACACCCCCGCCCCATCAGCTCCCAGGGCAGAGGGTGCAGCTCCCCCCCAGTAAAGCCCGTGACGAGGAAATTAAATCTCAGTAGAGAGCACGGGGGGGAGAAGCAGAGCATGGCCCCGCGGGGGCCGGGGCACGCAGCCCTTCACCAGCAGCAATTCCAGCCTCGCAGCCGCGCTCAGCCCGGGGCTTTCTGCCCCTGCCCGCCCCCCATTTCAGATTTACAAAGAGCGTAAGAAACGGTGAATAAAAATAACGGGTGCGGGGCTGGCGGGGAAAGCGGCCGCCGCGCCCCGAAGCGAGGGTGCAGTACCTGGAGCTGGCCCGCCCGGGGCTGGCGCCGGACAAACACTAACGAAGCCTCACAACAGCCCTGTGAGGTAGGTCACTGTCTTCATTTGACAGGGAATCCAAGGCAAAGCTGGGGTTCAAACTCCAGATTTCTCGGTTAATGCCGTGCCTGTCACAATCCTCCTTCCACAGAAATATGGTCCCTGTTCATAGAAAACAAAGAATTTTGTGCCAATGCTCCCGGCTGCCCGCAGGAGAAAGCGCTCACAGGCAGACTGGCATCTACAATCACGTCCTGTGGTGCACACGGTACAGGGATTCGGCCTCCTTGGCGTTGGGAGAACAAGAAATTAATAATAAAAAAAAAAATTTAAAAAAAAAAATAAAAAAAAGTAACAACGCAAGAGGACAAAAAGTACAGGCAGATTAGGAAGGACAAGTCCCATCTCACACTGGTAACGCCACGGCTGCGCTCGCGCTGTGGGGCGGCCGGGCCCCGCTCTGGGGCTCGGATCCCGCGTGGAACGTCGCGTCCGCCGGCGCCTGCGGGGCTTGGCCGTCCTCGGGAAGGGGCCGAGGAGCAGGACCCTGCGCCAGAGCCGCCGGATCCAGGCCCGGGCCCCGCCGCGCGTCCTCCTCTCGGGGCGGGAGCAGCTCCGGCCCTGTGGGGGTGGGCGGGGGTCGGCCCGCAGCCGCCGCGTCCTGGCTGAGCCGGGAAGAGCGGAGGAGGAGGAGGAGGAGGAGGAGGAGGAAGAGGTGGTGGTGGGGGTCCACGAAGCTCGCGTCAGGGTCCATCGGCACTTCCAGTCCATTGCAGGCGGCGCTGCGCCGGTTCTTCCTACGTGGTGACCATGCACGGAGCCGACAGCAGGAGATTCAGACAACATTAATCTTCTAGGATGGAGAGAGATGACTTCACAAGGGATAAATAGAACTTTTATTTAAATAAACATTTGTGAACATCTTTATACAAATTACAAGTCCCCACACAATCCTCCAGCTCAGCCTAAGCGCCAAAGCTGCCAGGAGGGCCTTTGAGCAGATCCACCAGGATGTCGAGCAGCTGGCTGTGCTGGTGGTGCAGGTCCCCGGGGATGGCTGCCATCTCGTAGCACAGGCACGTCTCCACCATCTTGGAGAGCGACACGCGGAAATCACGCAGGAGGCGGATGGTGTAGGAGTCCCCCTCCAGCACCAGGAGGTCGCTGTCGGTCAGGGAGACTGTCGCTCGCCAGCCGTCATCTTCGTGGGGAGGAGAGAGGAGGTGAGAAGCAGGAATGGTGCTGGCCCGTTCCAGGCTGCGCTGGGCCCCTCCGCCACCGCCCCCAGGGCCCTCCCCACACTTTTTGGGAAGTCCGGGGACTCAACGGGGCCCAACGGTTCCCCCAGGAAAGCCAGGCAGCGCTCTGACCCACCGCACCGGCCTCCTCCCTGTGTTTCCCATGGGAGCGACTGGTGGCGCAGCCCGTCCCAGCTGGAGCCCAACTGCAGCACTGCCAAAACCCCCCCCGGGGGTAAAAGCAACACATCCACGGGGTGGGGCTGGGGGGAAGGCTCCCTCCTCCCCACCCACCAGCTGTGCCTGAAGACCAGCTCAACTCTCACTCCCCGAGGATGAGCCTCCAGGCTCGCTCAGCCTGCCCCGGGGCTCGGTTTCCTGGTCTCCACGGAGGGCTGCAGCTGAGAACGGCTCGTAAATCGTCCCCTTGGTGGCCCCGTTACAACAGCCAGCGCCAAGCAAGAGGCTGGGAAAGCCGGGGCTGGGGGGGGATGGCTGGCGGAGGGAAGCAGCGGGGTGCCCGGAGGAGCCGGCGAGCGGCACGAGAGGACGGGCAGGGGAAGGCGGCGCTCACCTCGCACGTGGATGTCTGTGTCGGTCATGAGCAGCACGGCCAGGGGGTGGACCTGGGAGGAGTCGCGCACAAACACCCCTCCGTTGGACTTCACCGCCATGAAGTACGTCAGCCAGCGGCTGTAGAGCTTGGACGCCTCCCTGCCCGGGGGGGGGAACAGCTCCGTCAGCTGCGGGGAGGCGCCGGGAGCGGCACCGGGGTGCTCGGCCCAGGGGTCCCCAGCCCGGCCCGCTCGCAGACGGGACGCACGTCACCCACCTGTTGATCGTGGATTTGTGGAGCAGGACGGTGCCAGCCTTTGTCCGATAGGCGTAGCTGTTGGGTTTGAACTTCCCCTGACGGGTCACTTTGCCTTGTCGCACCTGAAACGAGAAGAGCGTCTCAAACGGCGGCCCCGCAGGCAGCCCGCCGGGCTTCCCCCACAGCTCGCTTCCCCGCTTTGGGGTAGGGGGAAGTACGTTCCTCCCTTTCCAGAAGCTCCGCTGCGGCAGCCGAGTACACACCTGGGGGGTGACCAGACCTGGCAGTCACCACCCCCCACCCACGGGGCGACAAGCAGGAGGGAGGTGCCACCTCGACGGCTCGCACACCAAAGCTTCGAGAACCTTAACAGCCCGGGGGGGTGTAGGGGAGGGGGCCGCTTGTCCCCAGGAGGGACCCAGGGGCAGCACGGGAGCAGCAGCACAGACAGGCAGCCCGCCTGGGACACGCATTCCCACGAGAGCACAAGCATCTCTGGCACCCCAACGCTTCCCTGGGCGACCAGCAGCGAGCCCGGGGGGCGGTACCTGGATGAGGTTGGGGTACAGCCCAGCCATGAGGACTCCCTTGACAAGTTCCTCCTCTTCACTGTACTGGTTACAGACGGACGAGGGCATGGTACAGTCAGATGGGGACGACACCAGGAAGGCTTCGTAGAGGTTCTCAGAGAACTGCTTGACGAGGCCTACGGGGAGGAGACAGCCCCAGGGGTTGAGATTCCCCCTCTCCTTCGCCCCACTGAAGGAAATAACCTCAGCAGGGCAGCACCAGCTCCGGCCCCGGCGGCTCAGCCTCGGCGCCCACCTCCCTCGCTGGCACCCAGGGCCACGCCTGCACCCAGCAGCGCCCGAGCCAGGACCTGCGCCCACCCCAGCCGTCACCTGCCCACTCCACCCCAGTTTCTGCACCGCGTTCTTCAGGCTTTTTCAGGGGACAGAGGGGAGCAGCAGGCCTCCGGGACTCACCGTTGATGAAGCGAAGGCTGGGGCCGTACAGGTAGTAGTCCTGCAGGTAGTTATCCCTGGCACGACTGTCTCGGCGTCTCAGCACCTCCTCCCAGCCCGCCACGGCTCGGACAAACGCGAGGTGATCGCTCCCGCTCTCCCGGCTCAGAACAGCCTTGGCCTGGGAGACAGACACACGCGTCAGCCCCTTCCCTACCTCATCTCCACCTTCCTCTAGGAGGGGCTCCTCACCTTGTCCACCTCCGCACGGTTTTGCAGGCTGCTGCTGAAGGGGTCCCGGGTGAGGCAGGAAACGATGACGAGCAGAGGGTGGAGGCAGCGGTAGATGGATGCCAAGACAATGGCCTTTGCCAGCCGAGGATCTGTGGAGATCTGGGCGAGGCGTTTGCCCAGAGTGGTGAGGGCTTCTCGCTGGTCCAGCACCCCTGCAAGAGCCGCCCGCGAGGGCACGTCCGTCAGCTCCGGGGGGGGCTAAAGCAGCGGCCGGTGGCCTCGGGAAGCTGCCAGCACAACTCGCCTACTGGGCTCGGAGGATTTGATGTAACCTCCAGAAGAGGCACAGGGCATCGGTGCCTACAAGGAGCACCCAGAACCTCCCAGGTCTAACTGACCCGAGGCCACAGAAAAGGCTGTCGCTTGTCGTCGGGCTGTTACAAGGCCCCAGCTACGAACTCCACGTCACAACCTTCCTCCTTTCTCTGTCGTTCTCCCGCCTTTTTTTTTTTTTAAACCTTGGCAAGTTCTCCCCACTTCCTGAGCGAAGCGGTGTGGGAAATAAAAGAGCACCACAACGTGTGCGGTCTGGGAAGCCCCTGTCAGCTGCCACCCCTATCTAAGGCCAATCCTGCCCAGTCCTGTGCCAACTCCCACCTCCCGCGTCCAGACAGCAAACCTGTTCCCATCACACCCACACCAGGACACAGCATCAGCTCACCAATCTCCTGCAGCAAGATCACTGCTTCATCCACAGCTTTGATGTCAGGGCTGTCCAGAGCCTTGGAGAGAAATTCAACTGCCTGCAACACAGCAAGGGGAAGGGAAAAGGAAAAATAAGGGCACGTTTCCCATACAGGAGTGTGGGAGAGCCCTCGGGAGTCCACTGCCCTGCCCCAGGGTCCCAGACTGCACCACAGCTCCCTCTGTGTTTGCCTACAGGGATAGGAGCTCAGCCCTCTCCATTCTTGCAGAGTCTTTTAGACCTACTCTGTAATCTAGGGAAGCTATACACTCCCTGGTCTTAACTTCCCTAGACAGCACTGCATTTAAGAAAGCAAGAACTGAAGCCATCAGCATCTCGGGCTTTCCCTCCTCGTGTTTGCGGTCAAATCGCGCCTCTGCAACGGGCAGCCCGCAGGCTGCATCCTGCTGGCTCAGCCGGCTGCAGGCGTGCACTGTGCTCACCGTTTTCTCCGGCATGTGGATCTTGGCCTGAACCACCAGGTTCTCCAGTGGGGTGCGCAGGATCTCTGGAACCTGGTAAGTTGGCATCTTGTCCAGGCGGCTGCGAGGGAAGAGGTGATAGGCAAATCCCGACTGGCAGCGGCCAGCACGCCCTCGCCGCTGCACCACGTTTGACTTGGACACCCACACTGTTTCCAGGCAGGACACCTAGGAGGAGGAAGAGGAGGAGGATTAGGCATGAACACTCGTGGCTCTCCATCCTGTTTAAGAGCAGCCTTCCATCCGATCCACAGACCTCCAAGTCTCCTCACAACCGACCCACCGCCCGCGGAAGGGCAAGGAAAGCCTTTCCAGTCTCTAGCAGGCAGGAGGGCAAATGCCTGAGCTGCTCGGTGCAGGGACGAGAGCCACCCGCCCTGGCCCCAGGCCACCACACTCCCCGGGGCTCCCCACGCCTCTCCCATGCCAGTCCTGCTGCCTGCCAGGCTGCACTGCGGCACGGAGCAGGTTAAAACCGGGCAAATTAAAAAGGAAAAAAAAAAAAAAAAAAAAAAAAAAAAAAAAAAAAAAAGGGGGGTTGTATACTCTTCCTCTTAAAGCTGACTAACAAGTTAAGGTACTAGGGTCAAGACAGCTTCAAAGAAGAGCAGCACCTAACAGGTCAGAGGTGGCCTGCTTTGGCTAGAAAGAGGTTTCTGATGAAATCAGAGAAAGGCAGAAAGCAAATGGAACAGCTACAGATGTTAGATGGCATAAAAGAAAGATGGGAAGGGAGCAAGATTTCCCTTACATTTTTGAAGACACCAGGCTTTTGCCTGTTCAGCAGAAGCTGGTGGGGAGCCTGGCAGGGAGCTTTGTAAAGGCAAACACTGACTGGCGAGTCAGACACTGTCCCCAAACAGGGACACAGCACCTGTGCCCCCTGGGAAGCAGCTCCATCATCCCATTAACAGCATCTCAGACCTTGCTGTGAAAACATCCATTAGCTCCAGTATGTCCCAAACGCACTTAAAGGTGAGAAAGCATCAGTACCTTGGTCTTTAGATCGTAGCGTTCCTCCTTGTGCGTGCCGCTGTCCACCACGTGGACAATGTCGTTGATGGTGATGGAGGTCTCGGCGATGTTGGTGGCCAGGACGATCTTCCTGACACCAGGTGGAGGCCTCTGGAAGATGTTTTGCTGGTCCATCATGGGGATGTTGGAGTGCACTAGGGAATAACACCAGAGTCAGTCCTGCCCTGTTGAGCTGCTTCGCAGTACAAGGCCAAGGCGAGCAGAGATTCTCGGCCTTCTCGTACCACCACCTCCTGCTTCCAGAAACGGGGACACCACTTGTAAATGTTCACTGTCAGCAGATCCCTGCCAGCCAGACCCCAGGAAAAATCCTCCACACATCCTTAGGGAAGGCCTCATTTCAGTTGCTTTGACCTGGAGCTCAACAGCAGCAGGAGCTCAGGTCAGGGGCTGACGGCACCGCCAGAATATCCCTGGGCCCCAGGCAGAAGTCCCACTCCTTCCCACAGGCCAGTTCCACAGCTCCCCCTTTTCAAAAGGCCTACGGGGCAGAGGAATGGGGTATCCTCACTGTCATTTGCCTTCACTTGGTCAAAAATGGTTATCAGCCAGGGCCCGTAACTCTTCTAGATCACGCGTTTGCCCTATTACAGATCAGTGAGGCAGAGAAATTCCCAGCAACCGCTCAGAACAGCAGGGGAGTACAAGAACACGCAGTTTTCACAAAAGAACACCTGCATTTATTAGCAACTGAGCTGCTCAAAATTGTGCTTCTGGGTGGCCTTATTTGACACTGAATAGGGAAGACCGTTAAAAAAAAAAAAAAAAAACACCAACAAAAAAACAAATAAAAAAAAACACCCCACCAAACAAAAAAACAAACCAAAAAACCCCCAAACAAACCAACACCAAAAATCTCACAGCCTTGCAGAGTAACACTGGCTTTTGTTATAAATTTCCCTCCTGCCACAGAGAACATTAACTGATCAAAGCTGAGCTGCCGAGTACATCTCCATCCCACAAAACAGGGCTTGAAGAGCTTTTCTGCGTAGGCTCAGCATGCAGCTACAGCAGCGCAGAATTTAGCAGTTTCCCCCTTGCCTAATTCCGAACTGCTGGAGGCAAACAGGAAGCCAGTTTCTCCGATCATGTACAGGTTTGGACAGCCTCTGCTAGGAGGAGTTATCTGTGCTTCACGTGCACGATTACACAACAGGGACGTACACCAGAGCGTACAAGCTTGCTCTGTGTCAGAGTGCGGGAGCCAGAAAAGGTCTGGCGCTGCCATCTCACCTGGTAAGACGAGGTACCGGCTGTTCTGAGAGCCGAGCATCTCGAGCAGGCGCTGCTGCACTCCTTTGATTTCCTGCCAACCAGGGAGGAAGCAGAGGATCCCACCTGAAATACAGCAGGAGTTAAGAACAAGCGACCCAGAAATCCAAGCGCTTTTCCCCAGCTGAAGACACAGAAACCGCTTCTGCGGCACGGAGGGACATCCGTTATTTCCCCAAGTCCATGGCAACTTTTAGCCCAAGAAGAAAAGCAGGGCCCTGGCCTGTGATGCCCCTGTCAGCTGATCTCTAAGGAAACCTGCCTCATATTTATCATGAACAAATGACAGAGCCATTATGAGAAGTCGGACCCCGGCGACTGTTCATCTAGACTTCATACCTGCTATGCTCTACTGGCTTCTTGTTAGGGCAAGGTTTTAAAGTCAGAAAGAAACCAGGCTATCTGTAGTTTGAGAGTGAATGCCTTCTACTAGCTTTGAAACACTTGAAACTCTTATAATTCAGCTGAGACTCCTGCCTTCTTCACAAAAACATTACCTTCCAGGCAAATATATTTAACAGGGATGGGTGTCCAACACAGAAAGGTAACTAAATTGTTCAGCACAAGGTTGCAAATGCTGGGGCACAGACAAGTCTTGCCCTTCACCCCAGGAACAGCGGTACCTCAGGACACCGAGACACTGAGGACTTGGATGCTGAATTAGCCAAAGACTCAGCATTAGCTCATGCAGCACTTCAAGACCACTCGGTTCATCTGCAATTCAAGGTGGCCTTGCAGAAGTCAGCTCAGCATCACGTTTTCTCTGCAAAGGGACTAGGCTCTGCAGGGTTCACTTTTTCTGCCCCCAGCAAAAGGGGGTGAGGCAGAACCTACCTGGTTCTCCGTGGGCATCAATCTGGAGCACGAGGTCAGTGATCAGATCAAGATCAAGGACACATTCATCATCCGATTGCTGGATAAAAGAGGACGACACAGGCAGGTAAACAAGCAGCAATCTATCAGAGAGGCACACAGCCTCCCAGAGCATCTTCTGGAGAGAGCAAATGCCTGTACTTGGACAGCCTGCCCAGGACTGGGAGCCAGGAACCTCAGGAGCCTGGTTTTGGCTCCATCTGGAACCTGCTCTGGTCACAACTGCTGCCAGTTCCCTCTGCTGTGCAGTGAGAATATACAGTCCCTTTCCCTTTCTCCAGACTTGTAAGGTAACTGAGCTTCGTGTACCTCCACTGAACAGCACTGAACAGCACCTAGCAAGTAACAGAAATAAACGTGGAATGCTGGGGGACAAAACCATGTCACAGGCACCGGGGATTTCAAATCCACCAGAGAGAGAGAGGAACAGCTTTTATATCTCTCAGTAATTTGGAACACACCTATCAGGCCAGCTTAAAAAAGCGCAGGTAAAAATCCCAGCCACAACAGAAACAGGAAGATTGCCCCATGGCAACGGGACACCCCCAGCAAGGCTGCTGCTGATACAAAACCGGGAGAAGCGGCCGATGCACCAGACGGTTGCTCAGCCGTAGGGAGGGACCCCCGCAGGCTGGAGAAATGGGCTGAGAGCTGCTAATCCAGCAGGCTGGACCAGAAAACGTCTGGAGGTTCGGGCCAACCTCAACAATGCTGTGACTCCGTGACCCACACCTGAAGTCAGATTGCCCACAGCAAAGAGTACACATCTGGAGGGCGTTTTCCAGAGGAACTGTGAGACTAGTTGGAAAAAGCAGCAATTGGGGAATTCAGTCAGGCAGGACGGCGAGCACTTAGGTAACAGACTGCTGTAAGCCACAACCTTCCTAGTCTTGGACCAGGCTTGCACGGAGCATGCAAACGTTCAAGTCTGCATCTATGTATATACATACATAAGTACAATGAGCTGTTAGCTTACTCAAACATAACCAAACTTCACATTAAAGAGGGATAAAAGTAACTTAGACCCAAATCTGAAGTCACCTTTATCCATCTTTAATCAAAATACCGTGGGATTCAATTAAGCTGACTTTCCCTCACGAGGGCTGACATGGAATTAAAGGTAAGCCAACACTGTCCAACCACGGCAGGGAAGAGGGAGCAGTTCCAGGCTCAAACTCTCCCCTGCTGATGTGCCAGAAGTCAGCGCCTCAGCCAAGGGCAACAGCTTCACCACCACACCACATACCCACCTTGATCTCATAGTGCCGGTGACGGTGCCGGCCCAGCTTGGCCAAGATCTCCTCCAGATAGTACTCCTTCACCGGGTACATGAAACCCGGCACCTTGACCACAGGGCAATCCCCAAAGTAATGCGAGAAACGCTGATTGTCTCCTGTGGCGCTCATTAAGACCAGGCGCAGGTCAGGGTTGAGCTTCTGGATGCCCTTCAGCAGGATGAGCAGGAAATCAGTGTTGACGTCTCGCTCGTGGACCTCATCGACCACGACGTGGCTAACGCCCTCCAGGCTGGGGTTCCCCTGCAGCTTCCGCAGCAGGATGCCCACGGTGCAGAAGAGCAGGGCTCCTCCCCTGGCAGGTGGCTTGCTCTCCAGCCGCACCTGGTAGCCCACGTTCTTCCTCATGTTGGGACCCAACTCTTGTGCCACGCGCTGGGCGACCGAGATGGCGCTGATCCTCCTTGGCTGGGTGATCACGACGTTGCAGCGGGCGCCGCGTCCCTCCAGGATGTAGTGTTCCAGCAGGAGCTGAGGGATCCTCGTGGTTTTCCCACAGCCTGTGTCTCCTGCTATTACCACTACAGGGTTCTGCTCAATGGCTGATAGGATGGTGTCCTTGTGAGGATCTACGGGCAGTGGGTGGCTCTCCTGCCAGGAGGATCCTCTCCTTTTCCAGAGGGCCAGGAGATTCTGGCTAAGGCGCACTTCCTCTGCTTCCAACATGGGTATGTACGTCTTCCCCGTGATTGCGTCACTTATCGCACCAGATTCCTTGCTCAGGTTCATCATGTCATCGGCAATCCGAGGCCTGGATTCCCTGATGTCCACTGGATACTGGGAGAGACAGAGAAAGTTGGCAGGGACAAAAGGATTAGTACCAGTCCCAAGAGGGACAGAAAGAAACAAGTGCCTGGAACAGACTCAGCCAGACTGGCTTCGCAGTGACCATGAAGCTTTGCTAAAGTCTCTTCAGATGTTAGGTAACTCAGCCACTTATATTTTGAATTGAGGTTATTTAAAGTGAGAATTAACTTGAGTGGCTCCCTGCATTTTCCTCATTGCATCCCCTATTGTAAGGGAGGTATTAGCACTGATGCCTGAACTGACTGGCGCAAAACAGTAACTTAAGCTCTCAAGTCAGTGGCTGCACTGCATGCAAGTGATGCAACGGCCCCTCAAAGACAACTTTTGGAAACTATCAAGTTACACCACCACCCCTCTCTCCCTCAGGAAGCCCAGACATGTAACTCGCACAAAACATAAGCGTTCAGCTAAGCCAGAAATATTCTATCTTGGCAAAAGAAAAAACAGAAGTCCCATATCCCACAGGAAGAACTAAAAGGAGCAACAATAGGTCAGGAATCGTCTAGGACACAAATCAAAGCCTTGGCCCAGATATTCACAGGATTACAAGTTCAGCTACAAATCAGCACTTGTGGATTCAGCCTTATTCAGAGCTGTAAAGCCATCCCTTCCACACATGGTGTGACACCTCGTGTTCCTGTAAGCATGGGAGACAGACCAAGCTCCTTCAAAATGCTGGTTTTCTAACTTTTCTAGCCTTAGCTCAGTCACTCACAGCAGGTCATTCAGAAGCGGCCGCTGTCTTAGGCACAGTCCTGCCTTTCTAAGACATTCACTACCGCTTCGTTTACAGCACCTGTAAGACACTGTAAAATCACCCGAGATCCTTACTGTTCAGGCCTCAGAGTACCACATCAGTGACTGGCCAAGGTCTACACACGAGCATTATTTTCAATGACTTCAATAAGCTACACACAGTTGTACCTGAGCTATGCTCAACCTCATCTTACCTTAGCACTAACTCCTGCTTTGGCAGCGAGTGCTCCTAAGGAACCTGTCTCGGCACTGCTTCAGCTCCCATGGGTGCCTGTTCACCACCGGTGCACCAGGAAGAGGGATCCCCAGGGTGAAAGCACCGCCAGATGCCCGGGGACCTGCATCCTCCACTAATGCACAGTACTCCGAGGGAGATGTGCACGTACCAGCACCTCAGCCTTGTAAAGCTACAAGGCACGACCAGAGTTTAACAGAACCAACACCCGCACAAGGCAGCATTCACAGGCCTAGAGAGGAGGCTATAAACAAGCCAAAGCTGCACTCCCCAACATCCCAAAACCCAAACAACGCAGACAAATGTCACAGATGCAGGCAGAGAAGGCCCGCTGCCCGGAAAGGGTCTCCCTTCCCCAAAGGCCAGCAGAGAACGACCGGTTTTTGTGGCAAACTATCAAGCCATGAATCTCCTCAGCATACTAACATAAAGCTTTCAACCCACGTGCAATTTGTCAAGTTAAATGGGATCAGGCAAAGGTCATTCTGAGAGAGCTGAGCAAGCCTTACATGATTCAGATAGTTCTCAATCTTGCGCAGGGTTGCTTCCGGGACTTTGATGTGGCAGGGTTTCCTCTGGTTCTCCCCGAGCTCCCGGAGCGAAGTCATGTTGTACATAGCATGGCTGAGTGGGTTGTTGTTCTTGTCCACCAAGCCAAGGCTCTGCAAAGGAAAAGCCAAACGACACCGTTAGGGACAAGGCTTCTGCGTACAAAGTGCCAGTCCTCCGTGTTCAGACGGACTAACTCCTTTATCCCATATCCCAAATCCATCACTCTTGCCACAGCGAGAAACGAGACGTGATCCCATCTCAACTCTGGGGAACAGACACGCTGGAACCAACTGCTACCTGCCCCCAACGCAACGTTCCAACAGGTCTCAAACAGACCCATCAGAGAGCCCGCAGCCACAGCTCTATCTGACCAAAGGCCGGTAGCTCTCTTGCTATGGTTCTGGTATGTTGTGCCAAGTGAATGAATAATTAGTCCTACACTATTTCCTGGACCTCCCCTCTCCCAACTCTAGAGTCTGCAGCAAAACTATTGCAGCCACGTGTCTGGATTAGTCCACCTTCAAGAACGAGAAGAGCGTCTGTCTTAGCAGACAGCAGCAAGGCAGTCAAGAGAACAAGCTAACACTTCCAGGGTGATCCCTACACACCACTTTTTGTTGAAGGCTCAAAACAAGCACAAGAGCCTTTGCAGGTCAGACACTAGATGGGTACAACAGCCGTTTGGACTGAATCCTAAGGTTTGGAAATACATGTTTATTAAGCAAGAAGTCAAAGATCACAAAGTTTCCGGCATCACCCCAAAAAGCATAAATATAATCAGTCAGGTGCAAGGAGCCTCTATTCACAGACAGATCAGCCAGCCACGTGCACTTACCTTGAGCTTCTGACAGGCCAATGCCGCCGCTTTGTTTTCTGCCTCCACCTTGCGACGGCCCTTGGCAGCAAAAGTCATCGGACAGGGCCAGCGGAGCGTGAGCTTACAGATCTTGGTCTTTGTGCCTACTGTGCGGAACTGCATGTATTCCTAAAAGACACAGAAACACCATCAGATCTGGGGAGGTGTTAAGAGCCTACATCAGTAAGCAGGCATTTTCAAACACACCCCAATATTTCTCAGCAGAGCTTAGGTTGCCTTTTTTTTAAAAGCGCACTAGAACAGGTTTACTGCTCTGAATTCCACTCCCCCAGCTCACAAGGCACTAGATAAGCAGAAGTGAGAGCAGGCAGCTGTGTGGAGAACGTCACTGAGCGCCCATGGGGTGGAGCACAGCTACTATTTGCTGAGCACACGAGGTCTGGAAAGGAGGTGGGTGACAAACACCAAGGAGGAGGATCACCGGGTACTGGCAGGAATGGAGTCGTGGAAAGATTCCGTCAGCACAGAAATTACACACTGCTCTGAGTAACACAAACTTGTGTTTGTTGCAGATATACGGGGAAATGCAAACCTACTGCCTTAGAAAATACTCTCCTTCATTCAGACAGCAGCTCCTCTATTGCCCTGGTCTCAAGTAACAACATTCCTCATGCTTCTATTAAGACTCTTACTCAATTCTCGCCACAAAGTCTTTTCCTTGCTCTTCAGGCTAGTTTTTCAAGGCCTAGTTTTAACTCCACTTCTCTCCACAGTTCTCAGCTGCCCCAAAAAAGCATCCGAAGCGATTCCAGTCAGAGCCTTTGAGCTTCATCCCTGGCAGGGGTCAAACAGCACCTTACCTTGACTGTGGAGGAAGAGGTTGCAATCTGAATCACTTGGGCCAGGAGATTTTTGGGAAGCGGGAATTGTGTCAGGGCACGGATGGCAGTGTTGTCGTCTGTCATTTCAATGGAACTCCCTCCTCGGCTAGATGGAAGATGAGAACAGTTTAATATACAAATGCCCACTCTGCGCTCAGACCCACCTCACTTCAGGTCTGCTACTGAGGTCTGAAATCGAGTAAAGGCACAGATAATTTTGGTCATCTGAAAAGTCAAGCTGTATCCGGCTACTCAAATCTGTCAGTCACAGAACAATCGCCCAGCCCAGTAAAGCCACCTACTAAAAAGCAATCAAACATTGACACTAGCACCACAAACTAGACAGCATCAACAGATTTTAACAGATTTAAGAAATAAATAATTATGAATCCAAAGAATATCCCTAAAAACTACCACCACTACCAGGTCCTTACTGATCTTAATCCTACTGACTATCAATTAAAAAAAAAAAAAAAATAAAAAAAAATCAAAGATTTGTGCTCATAAAATATGAAGTCAAGCAAGCAGCTATGGTGATGAAAAGGAGCAGATTGAATATTGCCCTCAAAGCCAGGGTGGTCAAAAAACGTCTAAGTGCACATGCACAATTTCTGGGAATAGAAACCTCTTTAGGCACAGAAGAGTAAGAACGGCAGGTAAGGAGTAGGCAGCAGCCTGTCCAAAGGGCAAGACCCCTGTGCATTCCCCTGCGATGAGAGCCAGGTACTAGAGCAGGCTGCCCCACTACTGCTCCCACAGAGAAGGGGACACAGCCAGCATCTGGCTCATCTGCAGGCCACACCAGCAACGTGGGAAGCTGCAGCTCAACTGTGAGGAACTGCAGGGGAGCAGCAGCTACAAAGAAAAGTCTCTCTTCTTTACTGCCCTGGATCAGCAGCTACCAGGGCAGACGTACCTTGCATCTCTGCCTGGGGTTCGAGCATCCTGATGTGCCATAGGTAGATAATCAGAAACATCGATTGCTTCTTCTTCCAGCTCCCCTTCCTCCAGCTCCCCTTCCTCTAGCTCCCCTTCCTCCAGCTCTTCTCTCCTCATCGCTTTAGGCATCCTGCCCTGTTCCATGGGCTGGATGGAATCATCCGGCTCCATCCGTCGCCAGCAGGTTGACAAGTCGGCAAGGGAAGGTCCGGACTTGGAGCGCCACTTGCCCTCCGAGCACCACCTCTCGTCGGGACAGCCAAGCTGGTCAGCGAGAAGCCGGTACTTCGCAGCATCAAAAAGCTCATTCCTGGGCCCCAGCAAACCCCAGCCCTGCACGAGAGAAAGGCACTGTCAGCTGCAGGAATGACAGGTACAGGTAACGCTGCAGGAAATCAAAACACATCTGGTAAAGGAGAGAAACGTAGGAGAGATTTCTTCCTTTTCTGTGGGATATGAGAGAAAAAGGGACTTTCAGAAACTTAATGCTTTCCTCCTGCCATTATTTCTTAAGAAAGGGAATCTGCTCACCAGCCTCATTTCCCAGAGCACAACTGCTTAGCATCATATGGCTTGTTAGAAAGGGTGGGCCAAGCTCTATCAGTATTTTACAAACTATTAACTACATTTAGCATTCTGACGTTTTGAAAAAACCCACCGCAGAGCATGAACTGCATCTTTTTGGAAAGGCTAGTCTAAACAGGTATAATCTGGGGTAAGACAAGAATTCAGGGAATGGTTCATCTCCTTTCTTTTCACAGGAACAGTTATTTGTATAAGTAGCAGTAAGAGCTCCCTAACCCAGTAGTTTTTAAAGCAGAGTAGTTCTAATTACTGTTGGCCTACCACCTACACGGCAGACTGAACCCTACGTGAAGCTCCAGCCGCATCTAGCGTGCAACACATGCCATGTCTGACCAGACCACTGCTATAAACTAAAAGTTGCATCTTTAGGCCTCTCAATCGCCCCATATTAGACGAGGCTGTATTATTCTGTGCTGCAGGAGTGCCTAAAACAGCAAGAATTCACTTTGCTAGCTGCTGTACTCAAAGTCACTACATTCAGACAGTCTCTGTGCCGATTTGACGCTACTAATTTTCCTGAAATGGTGACTACTTATTTAAAGCAGCATTGGTAGCTATTTCTATAGCTATGATTGCACAAGGCATCCCCTCACGAGGGCCTTCTGTTAGGTTGTAAGTTTAGCTGGCAAAGCATCAGAGTTCAAAACTCTGCGTGCTGAATCTATGGTTTCGGGGGTTTTTTTGGTTTTATTTTTAGTTCTATAGTGAAAATACAGTTCAGTCATTTCCCAAATTTGGAGAAAAATACAAGTGCAGGTAGGAATGTTTTGCCTTTGAAAGCTTCCAGGCTCGCAAAAAAAAGCAGGAAACAATGCTTCCGCTCCATAACGACTAGTGAGGATAAAACAAGAATAGATTTCCAGTGACTGTTAATTGAATGAGGACCAACCATGCTTCAGGTGGACTGAGGTCAGTCAGTGAAACAAGTTTTGCTAATCACAGGATCAAAGAAACTAGCCTAAGCACAGGGGCCACCTGAAGAAACTGCTAGTTTTCATGCTGCAATTCTTAACTTGTGAAGACTTAATTTAAAAACTAAGTACTTATTTCTTAATGCAGCTTTTGATTTGCGTGAATATCACGAAAAGCACTCGTCTTGTTAGAGCAGCCACAACATTTTTTTCTAGGCTCCTCAGTAGGAAGATACTGTTCCTACTCCGTAGATGAAAGGGAAACTCCAAAAGCAAACTCGCTTGCTCAAGGTTAAAGACAATGGTCAGTGGCAGAGCTGAAGACAAAACTGCACTTTATTGTTGCCACGGATGCTGAGACCAAGATAGAAGCTGATTAAGGTCTAGGACATAAAGAATAAAGACCAAAATGCAAATAATTTAGTGAGATCATGCCCAGCTGAAGTAAGTGGGCTTTTCAGCTCAAACAGACTCAGACAGCACAAGACTTCACCCTCTACACTTGATTAAGTGACAAGCCAGGTAAGAAAGTGAACAGGCAAAGAGAGAGGTAAAAGTCAGAAATTTTATCGCCAAAACGGACGAGGCCTGCACACTCAAAGGCTTGTTTCTTCAAGATAAGGAGGAGCATGAGCTCACCTTGAAGAGCTGACATGCTGCAGCTGCTGCCTGCCTCTCGGCATCAATCTTCTTGGTCCCATAGCCTTCCACTTCCACATTCTTAGGCCACTTTATATGCAGAGTGACTTTCTGAAAAGCAAAGACAACCAGTGAAGTGAGACAGTACAGAATAACAAACAATCTCTCTCCTCCACCAGGAGCATGCCTACCTCAAACTTATCAGAACTCCAGGCAAAGAACAGAACTACAAAGGAAAATCCTACACAAACTGCTTGTTCGGTCCCTTTATGGGAAGCTCCATTCCAGTAACATAGAAAGAAAAACCTGATAAAGGGATACGAGGTGCCCACGGTCACAGAGAAGCCGCGTGGCTGAGCCAGGCTGACTTCCAGCACTGTGCCACGTACTCTGGGCCGGAGCTTCGCAGGCTCAGAGCAATCACATGCCAAGAGCTCATTACCAGAACAATTTTGTTTCAGAGGAACTGCTCCTGTGTGCACTGCAGCATACCAGACCATGCCTGAGCAGCAACATGTGCTCTCTGACACATTTGCACTTGCAACGGCAATCAAATCTTTCTAACTGCAATTTTAACTAGCAGCATATTGCATTACAGTTTCACAGGCAGCTACCGTACTCATCGGGCATGGGGGAACCCAGCCTTCAGTTTGTGCTGCTTTTAAGAGAACTAACAGTGTCACCAGAGCTCCTCTTATACCAGTGGAGCTGGATGAGAGCAGCTTTAAAACCTGCAGAGGGGAAAAAAATACTGAAAGCTGAACCCTGCCCTTTTTAGAAAATTGCTCCAGATCAAGAACTTGTTCTACTCCTGGCCCTGCAGATGCTGCAGCTGAGTTTCTGCAAGGCTCAAAGGAGGGAAATGCCTAAGGAATTCTCTCCTGTTTCTGCAGCAAAGATGAAAGGTGGCATTTAGGTCCGCTGGGAAAACCCCACCTATAAGGCTAGAGAAAAGGCTCCTGACTTTTCAACAGTCTATATCTGGCTGGCTGCCTGCCTGCCATCTGAATCTCATCTTACTGTAGGAAGTTGCTACGTATTCTGCCCAGGGGCTCTGCATGAAAAGGCACGGACCTGCTGAGAAAAAAAAGTTGCCTCACGAAGGCCAAGTTACTTGGTCCTCACAAAAAAATCCTCGCTTGGCTCCAGCTGAGACTTCTCCAAGTTCTCTTACCTGTCCTTCTGTCCCCACACACTTTTTCTGGGTGGTTGGTTTTGGGGGTTTTGTTTGTGATCCAACTCTCCTTTTCTCCAAGAGCTCCTTTTTTGGGTTTCTGGTTTAGTTTTCGTTTGATCTGAAGTTATCCTCAACCTTAATCCATTTAAGTGTTAGCAAGAATGTGAACTGATTATGCAAACTAAAGTGGTAAGGCATTGGTCATGGCATTCCAAAATTTAGGTTAGGAAACTGCACTACTGCTCAACAAAAAGCAAGAAACACAAATAATAAAGGAACTCTAAAGTAACCATTACTAATGTATTGCCTAAAACGCAGGGATGCTTAAAAAGTATGTGGTAATAAAAACTGTCTGGGAAATTTTAGACAGAATGTTATTGGAAAATGTTAATCCATCAGAACTGAATCTTTTCCTGGAATGTACATTACAGTTAAACTTCAGCTGGGAAGGGCTTTCTGCTCTAGAATGAGAGCTGGTATGGCTCTCAAAAGGAGGCAAACCCTTGGACACAGAGCACCCATCAGTTAGGAACTTCTGCTCAGTTTATAGCACAGATTTGGATCCGGGCCTCTCGCATCCCAGTCAGTGCTCAAACTACTTGGCAAACTGTTTGCTTGGAATTCCTCTGCTTCATTTAACAAAAAAAAAAAAAAAAAAAAAAAAAAAAAAAGAGTCTGTATTTCATTTTGCTCTGAAGTATATTAGAAGACTCCTTCCACTGCAAACGGTTGCAACTGAACATTTTAGGCTTCGGCATTAGCTCTATTAGACTCTACAATAAAATCTAGCTCTAAAATATAGCATTTAACTTTTAATTTTCTAGGGTAGTGGGGTATAGCCCAACACATCTGACTACAGACTACGTGCCTTTCTGCTGAGAAAATGTTACAGCAAGCTCCTTAAAAGAAAACAACTCTATCCTTCCACACACAAAAGGAGAGGGACAGGACCTGCACTTGTATACCTATTAAAGCATGTGAAAACAAAGAGAAACAGGAAAAAGTGAGAACATTTCTTCTTTGAAAGATTACCACGGAACTTTTAAGTGGAATTAAAACACTTCTATAATTTTCTCTGTTCAAAAGTTACTTCCAGGATTAGCAGTATTCTTGGCTCACTTCCCCCTCTATGTGCAACATACCTCCCAGCACTACAGGATTACCTTTTTTCTTGGCCCATTAGTATGGATGTACACCAGCTTGTCCCTTGCATGAGAAATGCCCAGGGCTCGTCCAATCACGCTGTTGAGCAAGTTTTTAGGCTGTGGAAATTCCTTTAATAAGTCTCTGGAATCTGAAAAAAAACAACAGAGGAACTAAATGTCTTAAAGTTCTTGTGCAGTCCTGTTCAAAGACATGTTAGAACACCTGCTTCACTGCAGCTCTGTGAGCATTAATGTCTCTAAGGTTACAGAGCAAGCAGAGGTATTAAGTGGTTCACCTACAATGTCTCCAGACATCAGCAAAATGGTTCACAGGAGTCCAAAGTGTCCTGAGCTCCAAATGCAAGATGACACTGCAAATCCAGAATGCCAACAACACTCTATGCCCCATACTTCTCCTGAAATGCACAGATTGTTTCCCCCTCTTTTGAAAGTATGAATATCCTCTAGTTACAACAGCAGCACTGACAGTCAAACTCCATGATGGAGTGACACTAACAGCCATGTAACAGTTTGGAAAGACTTTTTGTCCCCCCAGAGAATACTTATCAACAAAAAAAAAACAAAACCAAAACAAACAAACAAACAAAAAAAAAGGCAAAACCCAAAACAGACTATGTATACCTGTTGAACCTGAATCCTAGCACAGAATTCAAAGGCCAGATTAACACATGGAGCTGGTGCTGCCCCCTCACTATGGAGGTAAAAGCAGCTTTGTCATTCTTCGGTATCAAAAATGAACTGAGCAATAACTATGTTGAATAGATTCTGGTATTTGCATCCCCCTCCTGAACCTTGCAGATCACCTCAAGGTTAAATCAAAGGTCTTGACAACGTCCAAAGTTACACACTGGATCCAGCCATTGGTAGCAACGCAAAATAACACCTGGGGACTTCTCCCTGAATTTATCGAGATGGCTTGGTTAGCGGTTGGGAATATGGTTTTGTATGAAATTGCTCAGAGAACCCCCCTGGAAAGCAGTTTGCCAGCGCAGTCTTTGGAGCTAAACCAGCTCAAGCAGGAAGGCAAGCAGCAGTGCCTGCGGCGGCAGGCGCTGGTGGCAGGCAGGACCAGCTAGCTGAGCACAGGTCCCCTGCCCCGGCAGCTGAGAAATGCTGCTCAGGCTACGGCGCTTGCACGAAGGGGATATAATGATCAATTCAAATCACTCATTTAAAAAAATAATAATAATAATAAAAAAAAAAAAATCACACTGCCCCCAGAAAGTGCAATGTCACGCCCACCTCATGTTCCAGCCTCCTTCTTGATGCCAACAGCAGCAGTTTTGGCTGGCGAGGAAGCAGCTCTAACTCACCTCTTGCACGCATCACCACCGCATCTGGCACTCTAGGGGAGAGCCTTTATTTTGAGCTGCAGCCCAAGCGATTTCAGATTAAGTTTAACATGATAACTGTTCCCACAAACGGGCAGATCTAACAGCTCACTGCTGTGCTGAGGGGTAGGTGCCACTTCTCCCAGGCTCTACCACCACCACTGCTCCAGCTCTGGCACAAACCCAAACGTTCAGCGCGATGATTTGCAGCCCCAATCTGACAGAAAGCTAAACCAGAAAAAAGGGAGTACACTGGGTTTTTCCGGGCTCAGAAGTAAATCAGCCACTGCACAGTCCTGCAGGTACCCCAAACCAGTGCAAGGGAACAGGGCAGAGGACACTGCTGCCATTCTGGCAGCGGCAAGCACAGCCAAGAGGCTCTGATCCTCCGTTTTCTCAACGTGACAAACGCAGGTTCCCCAGGCAATCAGAACTTCATTCATCTTCTTGCAGACCATCCATGGGTTTGGGCACTACTTTTTAGAAGGCTTCTAATTCTCTACAGGTTTTCAGGAGAAGTTTAAGCCACCAGTGAGTAGTCAAGTCAGCAACACATGATCACTGGTACTGCCAGAAACCGGAATTTCAGGTTGAGCTACCAAATTCATGGAGAAATGACCCAACAGTCACACTCTTCAGAGCATCACCAAGGTCTGCCATGACTTTTTGCCAAAACCTCCTGATTGCAGTGTTGCCACACTGAAGATACACAGTCACTGGCTCCAGAGAAGAAAGCAAGCATTTAAGAGAAAGGCTCTATTGCAGGCATGTGGAAGAGATTCTCCAAGAAACTGCTCAGCCAGGGAAAACTGAAGTCATGGGGGTGTGTTATGAGGGCTCACCTGAAAGCTGGTCAATGGGGAAATGACAGGAGTTTTAGGGAAGGCAAAAAAGTTATGTTGTACCACTACAGGCCCAACACTTTTCAGACTGTGGATTCTTGGGTAAAGGAGAGCAAAAAACCATGTTGCTGATCATATCACCCTCTTAAAAAACAAACAAACAAAAAAAAAAAACCAAAACACAAAACCCCACAAACAAACAAAAGCCCAGCATGCTGATCCAGAGTTCAGAAAAAAAAAATAATTACTGGTGATACTCAGTTGTGAAACTTCTTCCTCCAAACTGTAGAAGAACCATCTGAATCTCAGAGAAACCGCTTTCAGAAGCCAAATGGACCAGATACAGAAGGAATTTGGGTTCCTTAACATATACAGGGAGATACTGAAATACAACCTCTGTGGCCTGAGATAAGGATGTTGAGAGCTGGGTATCATTTGAAGACAGGTCGCATTGTAATTCGACAATTGTCTAATTCTGACTCACAGCTGGAACTGGCTCAGGTTGACATTACTTTTCAACCTGGTGTGGAGAGGCCAAGGTGGTATTTAGAGGGCAGCATCAAAATGAACTGAACTGCTGCCTGCTCAATCTCCTGCGACTACACCAATGTTGAAAAGACCATGCAACACATGATGGGCCTTCTGCCACTCTCCTATGCATGATGCTCAGCCAGTGTCTTCCATTATAGAGAATAATAAAAGCCCACAGGCTGCTGCTTCTCACATATACTTGGGCAAAACTCTTGGAGAATTACGGAGGAACACACAGGAAGTACTGTGATTTATGAACACTATTTGTCCATGAATTACATTCTATGTATTGGCCAGGAGAGCATGAAAATGGTCTCAGCCTAACAAAGAATTACAAGCCAATTTTCTGTAATTATACAGCAAACATGGCACTTCAACCTACTCCTACAGCAAGCACCACTATATTTGGACTTTGATCAGTTCAAGGAAACTGGAAGAATGACTAAGATTTTGGCACTCTGAAGTTCTATTCCATTCCACATCACTGGGATGCATGGAGGGAGGAGTAGTAACACAATTCCCAAATGCGCTATTAAATTCACTTAATAAATGAGAAATTAAAAAAAAAAAAAAACAACAAAAACACACCACACCTCTAGCACCAGCCTCTATTATTTGGCCTCTAGTTGCTTCCTCTTTCAAAAACAATAACCTGAGAAATTTTGTAATAAGTAACAGGTGGAGGTAGTAAGCACATTCTTTTTAAATGCCTGAAAACAAAATGCAATTGCCTAATGAGAGCTGATTTCTCAGATTCTGAGGTGACTCCTCAGTGAAGACTAAATATTTAATCCATTCTAGAGCAAAGAATAGGATCTCTAAATAACAAAGCCTAGTTCTGGCTTGCAGATCAGACTCTGAATTACCAACCGAGACACAATGTATTCTTCACAGCTGACAATGCCATATTCAGCAGTACCATCTGACATATCAACAGCGACTCCAAGGCTTGATGGATTACCCTCAGCCCATTCTTATCCCAAATTCGAGAGCTGAAAGGATCTTATCTTATATGAAGCCATGCCTCACTCACAGCTTTTAAAGAAACAATCCAAAATTGCAGAACTGGGTTTGCAGAATGTTTCCTTCCCTGACAGATTGGATTTCTTGGCATCTTCCTCCAAAGAGTGTCTTAGTTCTCTTACTGCTGAGAAGAGATATTTGGGTAGGAATCATATAAGTGGTAGCCACAGCCCTGCAGAGGCAAGGAGTAAAACCTAACACTCCCAAAGCAAAAGAGAGTTGATTTTCATATCCAATTCCTATCACGCCAGAACCACGTATGATGTCCATACCACAGCTCCGAGATCACGAAGGAACATTAAAAGCCTGCCTTGGATAGCAGACATTTCAGGGTGGAGTTATCAAAGAAGCCAATTAACTAATTTAAGTTCCTCAAAACCAGTGAGTGCTTTAGCTTAACTGGATTGTGAAAGTCTATGATAATTCCAAGCAACACAAAGGAAAAAAAAAAAAAAAACAAAACCAAAACAAAACAAACAACTCCCAGCTGTAGTGGCTAAGCCTCTCAACCCCAACAAATCTGACAAGTAAAAACACTGTTTGGTACAACAAGAGCACAAATAAAATGGCCCACAGTCTCGTTCAAGGAAGACAGAGGAGCATTAGATCAATTTCAACTTTCTACCTTCACTCAAATTCTCTTCCCTGGAGAAGGAACAAACAAGCATCCCTGGAGAAGCAACAAATGAGCAGCAAGGACAAACTATTAAATACAACATTCACCAAGATATAAGCCCCCGCAGTAATAAATTCAAGTCAGCGAAGAATGCTCCTAACACATCAAAAATTCACAGGGAAAGAAGAAAGCCCCGTGGCTCCATAATATCCATTTCATAAGGAATTAGCCTAGACATGTTCTACTACAGAGAGATGGAGGGAGACAGAGGTGGTTCCACCTGGCAGTTTAGTTTGGAGTACACCAAAATCATAGTAGTTTGGGGGGATTTGGGGATGGCTTTTTTAAACCATCATCTGGCAACCCTGACCAAGGCTCCTTTCCAGCATACACAGTAATAAAAACTACATGCGGTTCTTCCCTAAACAAGAATGAACTTAAAAATTGGTAAAACTGGCCCCTTCAAAAGCAAGCGAGATCACCAGAGAATGAGAATGCCCAGTGGCCAACCTCTGCCCTTACTCGACTGGACCCAGCCCTGATCAACCTGCTCCAGGCTGGCCCTGCTCCGAGAGGGGATCAGGCCACAAGGCACCCGGAGCGTCAGTCCAACCTAAATTCTTCTGTGATACTATGAGACAGCAAATGTAATTAGTCTCAGAAAAAGACTTTCTTAGAGCAAACAGAGGTCAGGATCACATAAGTCTCAGTAACGAGCGAGAAGAGCCACAGACCTGGCTGAGCAGGCAGAGAAGCTCTCTTCCTCACAGATTCCGCTCCAAAATCCCACCAGCTAGTCCAATAAAGCAAAGCCTTAGATAATAATACTGCCATTTTTTAAACTGGCCTCAGATCAGAGTAGATTTTTCCATATTTGTATCCAAGGCTAGTAACAATAGCAGTCAAATGAGGACAGCTAACAAGACATCAACTTACAAGTTGAAGGCTTGGAACTTCCCCTCATAAATAGTTAGTTTAAAGTGAGTTTTATGATCTGTACGTCTTCAAGTAGCAGCTGCACAGGTAGGGCAGACTTACAACGAGACCCTGAGAACTTTTTATTTGCTCATCTGAAATAAATCTTCCAATATCAGCAAACTCTCACCAGAAGAGCCTTCCATGGTCAATCCACCACACAAATTGGAAGGACGAGTGAACCGAAGCCCAAAGATAAAAGTACTCAAGTAGTTTCCAAAAACACGTTAGAGAAAGTGCTGAGGAATGAAGTACAAATGAGGGAAGAAAAAAAAAAAAATGGTTTACTACTTTTCTCAGGCAACACCTCAACCATCTCATTAAACAATAATTTGGGGTGGTTTAGTGTTAGTTTGCTGTGTTGAACAGCTTGAATGCAACAGTTAAAGACTATCTGACTCTGAACTACAAGATAAAGCTCAGCAGAGCCTCTGAAAGGAAAATGGAACTAAGACCCAAAGAATTCAGAAACTACAGAGAGAAAATAATATTTAAAAAAAAAAAAAAAGTACTGGAGGGTGGAGAAAGGAAGTACAGAACACAGAAGAATGAGGGGAAGAAAAAAAAAAAAAAGTTGTTTTTATGTAATAATAAACCAACTTTCCAAAGTGGAAGATTACTGACTAAGAAACAAAACTCAAACCAAATCAGTGATTCTAAAAGGGAAAATGTAGTAGTTCAAGTCACAGCCTGAAAGCAGTAACCTCCAGCACAAAACTACTTGTATCTTTCTAAACTAGAAGTGTTCTTCACACTTTATAATCTAACAGAAAGCAATTATCAAAACACAACATGAAAACACACTTTCAAATATTCTTTTAAAAAAGTAACGATTCCTTCCAAACAGCAGGAAAGCATTTACCCTTCAAACACCTGAACCCCATGTCCTCTCACACACAGCTCTGTGGTAGGCTGAAGGACTCACATCCAAAAGAGAAATCTTCCAAGCTTTAGACAGAGGTATCATCCCAGATTTACGGACACTGCAAACATCAGGATTTACATTAACAACGGCTGTCCGTATCTCGAGAGGCATTTCATTCAGCTCAGGCACAAGACCACCCGGTGGAAGGGCAGACCGAAGCCCTTTGTACGCGAAGCGCGGATAAAGCGACGCTCCAACCCGCCCGCAGCCCACTCCCGCAGCGTGCTCCAGCTCTGACCTAACGGAACTTGCTGCACGGCGACGGCAGAGCAGTTTTCCTGGCGGATGCTCGATGGGCGTGCTCGATCCATCAGGATTTCTAGCGAAAGAGCCGTTTACGATTTTTCTCTCGCGTCAGGCCACGGGCAGGTGATGAGAAGCGGCGAGGACTTTTGGCCGGGGCTGGCTCGGCCCGGCTTCAAACCGGCGACCTTGAGCCGAAGGGCTCCGCACCCCCTTTTTTTCTGTTTTCTGGAGAAACCCAACTCTCCCCGCCAACAAAGAGCGTCGCGCACCGGCGCAGCGCGGCAGGGGCTGCCACAAAGGCCTCGGCCCTCGCTGCCCGGCGGCGGTTACCGGAGCCCCCGGCCCCTCTGCCCCGCTCCCTCCCCCGACCGCGACCGGCCCGTTACCTGCGGCAGCGGCGCAGCCATGCGTGCAGACACCGCCGCAGCTCGCCGGTTCCTCTCCCTTGCCGCGCATCCCGGCGAGGGAAGCCCTTTCCCCGGGGCAGGGTGGCTCAAGGCCGGGCCGCTCTCCCGCGATGGCCGCCCCTGCCCGGCGGGGACGGGGAAAGCGGGCGCTGACGGGGGGCCCGATGCGGCCTAGCCCAGGCCGGCGGCGCGGCCCGGCTGCAGGCGCGGGGGGGAGGGACGTTCGGCGCGCTCACGTTCCCTCCTCCCAGCACCGGGCAGCGGGGCTCGCTCCTCCCTTCCGCTGCGTGCGAGGCCGGCTGCCGAGAGCCGGGCCGCGCACCCCGGGGGAACCGCCGGTTCCTCCCCCCACCGCTTCCCCCCCCCCCCCCCTCCGCCCGCCCGCCCCCGCCGCATCGCCTCGCCCCCCGGCTCACCCTTCACCATGGCGGCGGCGGCGGCGTCCTCCTCCTCGGCGCCCGACTCCTCCTCGGGGTTCTCGGGAGCCGGCAGGCGGTTGCAGAGCCCGCGCGTCCCCGGTGCCGCCCGGTAACGGCGGCAGAGGCGGAGCGGCCCGGCCGAGCCACAGGCCGCCGCCGCCTGCAGCAGCAAACCCAGCGCCGCCATCTTGAGGGTTGCCCGGTGCCGGCTTCAGGCAGGGCGCGGGCAGCCAGGCGGCCCGGCGGGAAAGCGCCGCAGCGCCCCCCAGCGGCCAGGAGGACCCGAGTTCTGCACCCCCTCAATTTTAAATGGGGGGGGGGGGGCACGACGCTGAGCCCACGGGTGGGAGATCCCCGGGTGGCGTGGGGGGACGCTGCGTGGGGACTGCCTTGACACAGCCCCCCCCCACCAAAAAAAAGCAAAAACAAAAAAAAAAGAAAACCTGCTTTCGCGTGCCTGCCGGAACACGTGGAGGCAGAGCGCGGCAAAACTTTACCGGGCTCCTGCCTGCCAGGTGCCAGCCGCCGTGGGAAGGCAGGGGACTCGCACCGCCCGCTGAAGCTTTAAACCAGCTGAGAGATTTTCTTCCTCTTTTAAAAAAAATATCAACTGCACTTGCGTGATTGCGCTCTACCAGCCCTGCCCGGAGTTCTGTCCTCCTGGCCTGTGCGCATCACGCAGGGACGACACGGCAAGCCAAAGCGCGCGCTCGTACGCCGACGGTACGTCACGCCATACGGATACGGGTCGGAGAACATCGTGGGGGTGTCACGACCCGCCCCCCAAAAATAGGATGCCTGCATACACACTCACAGAAGCTTTACCACAAAGGGGTGACTCATTTGCTCCCCAGATCTGAGCAACCTGGTGATGATACCGCAAACACAATCCAGAGGCCGGGCCTCCAAATACGGATTTTATTTTAGAATCGTTACTAACCTTCTCTAATTAGAGGGGAAAAAACACCCATGCAATTTTTACTACGCTTTCAACAGCCATTGACTGCCCTTGGTTTCACTACTGCCTGCATTTCTTGCAGTCCTTGCACGTTTACAGGAAAGCAATCTTCCTGATTGCTTTAATGCAAGTGAGCGCAAGAATGATTCAGAATGGGAAATTCAGAAACTGCCCTGGAACCTGAAAGTCATTTCGAGTTTCTGGTCTTCAGCTACACATACACACCACCTGACACACACAGGTGCAGGCTAGGTAATTCATGTTCAAGTAAGTTACTAAAAGTCCACTTGCAGCCCATTGTTTACTAACATTTGAGATAAACACTCAAAAACTTTTAAGTCAATTAGGCAGCACTTCCCCTTCTTACACACTTCTCTCTCCTTGAAGTCAACTCCTGTGTTACTTGGTTCTATACAAATTATTTAATATCAGAGGCATAAAGTTCTCAATGCTGTAGTGCTGGTTGAAATTCAAACACTACAGATTTTTTAATTATTTTTTTTAGTCTGAATTCTTTTTCTAAGTGATTAATATATGTAAAATTTTATGATCTCTGGCCACAGCGTACACCTGGGACTACCACTAAGTTGTGTGTTTCTTTAACCCAGGGTATCATTTTTATGTCAAATAGCTTATTACTCAGTAAGTATTCTGGTTGTTTTGGAAGGGTGGTGGGGTTTTTTGTTTGTTTTTAAATCAGAGAAATCTTTGATAAGTCACAAAAGGATTAACTAACATAATTGTACACTTAAGTTTTATGAAGCCTGTATTCCATAAGAAGAGGTTCAAGAAGTGGAAACTTATCAAACAAAATCCTGTGTAAAAAAAAACAACTTTGGAAAGTATACATGAACACTCAAAAAAAAAAAAAATCTTATTACACCAGATTTGCTTTTTCCAATATGCATACCTTTTAGAACTGCTGTGAATTAGCTAGTGATGTCTGTGTAATTTTTTTGCTAAAAAAACCCAAAACCAAACAAAAATCCCCAGAACTTGAAGCAGCCTCAGAAGATACAAAAAAGGCTGCTTTTATTTTTTTGAAAGACATGACTCTAATTATAAACACTTAGATTACAAATTTTAAGAGCATTGGTCCACTAAAAGGAAAACAATTTTGCCAGACAAGTCACTCAATTTAAGGAAATTAATTATATGTAAATCTTTTGATAGCGGATTGCACAAACTCTTACTTTCAGAAATATATTTCAGCTGGTTTGGAAACAAAAGCTTCAAGGAGGACTAGGAAAAAAGGGTGGTGGGAAGAGTACATGAACATTGATACAGCCTCCTGGGAAGACAAATCTACTGTGAAACTACTTAACTTGATATAGTTGCTGGTTTATTTAGCATTTTCCCAAGATCTAGATGAGGTAATAAACTGTCCAGCAGTGAAGGAAGGAAAAAAAAAAAAAAAAAAAAAAAAAAAATCACAGCTACTAAGATGTTTCAAGTCATGAACATCAGAGAAGAAACGGAAGAGGTAGCAAGAGCCTCAAGTAGATGAAAACCATGGCTGGAGACCACAATGGTTAAAAGCAAAACAAACAAAAGAAAACAGATAAATAAAGTACATGTCTGGGGAAATTCCTGGAAATGCACAGTCAGCGGGAAACAGAAATCTGGAAGAAGATGCTGAAAGACAGTGTGCTGGTGAATGGAAAGGTTAGACATGAGTAGGGCTAGTGGTTTGTCACCATAATGATATAAAAATTATCTTATGAGCACAGAAAAAATAGTTAAGACTCAATTTATTAAAAAATTCCAGAAGTCACAGATTCCACATAGTCAATCCAAATATCTTTATTTTGCAGAGATGAGCGTTAAACAGAATATAAATAATCGCTTAGGGCCATCTTCCCAGGCTTTGCCAGTTAGGCTCACTTCGATGAGCTGTGGTTAATTCATCTTGTCTAGCCAAGCCTTTGCAGAGGCAGCAGCGCTATGCAGAAGCTCGTTAACAAGCCACGTTATGTTAAAGACTTCCTTTTCGCCCAGAGCACGAGAGTTGCAGCACCCGGAGTCCCAAACCCAGTCTGGCCATGACAAACCACTAGCCCTCACAGGAAAGGCTCCTCCTCGCTCTCTCGGGCTCCAACCCAGGTCACACTATTTGACAGATGAGAGGGGTTTTATTCCCAACTAAAATGACTTCGTACATAATTAACGTCTGGGCATATAAAGCATTCTGGGAATTTTTGTTTTAAATACAGAACCCACAATATTGGTGACTCAGCAGCATGGCAGCGTTACAAGAATGGCTGGTACACTGTCGCGTTCCCCAAGCGCTAAAGCACAAGCATGACTTCCCTGAGACAGCAGGCAGGGATCTGTCACTGGTTCAGCCGTAGCTGGACTATTTTATTCCATTCTATGCACCTTACTTTAAGGCCACGTAACAGACTTCAGAAGAGAACAACAGAAGAAAAGAAAAACCAGCCAGTGACTGGAGGGATTTCTTATGAAAAAATGTGGTCGAAAGAAAGAGGTTGGCAAAGCAGTGACAGAAAGAAAAAGGGCATGGTAACAGTTGACAGATTTAATAAAGTATGCAAACACCAAGGAGAAAGCACTTACTGAACTGGTACAAAAAGATGCAGGTATGTTTAGGAGGGTAAAATTAAAAGGGAAAAAAAAGCCTTTAAGCTAAATAGCAAACAAGGCTACATTGTCATCTATCGGCTAACACACCAGGTCTGCTCCCCTTCCAAATCCTGCTGCTTCCCTGAAATACTCTGGTACTTACTGTAAGGGAGTTTACCTGCTACACTTAGATCAGGTGCTACACTAACCAAGGCAGAACGGAGTTACAGTAGTTACAACAATCACTCTCAATTTACACTTAAAAGTACAAGTTTTGCACACTGGGCTCCCCTCAGAAATGAAGTGTCTCTCAAAGATAAAAATTAGCATCCTACACTACACAGCTATTGCTAGTTAGGGTATAGTCATCTCAATTTCCTTTTTTGTCCCCAGTGCATTGAGAAGGAAGTCTAAGACATTTGTAGGACAAACCTCTCATTTATCCAGCAAAGAGGAGGATAGTACTGTTTCTTACAAATTAGTTTTCTTCATCAATCTGCTATAGTATTAAATCTCTGAACAAAGGAAAAAATAAGAGGTAAATTGAAGATTGTCTCAGGTCCTTACCTTTAAGGGAATTCAGCGAGAACATCTCCATCACAGTGAAAAGGGTTGATTCCTAGGAAAGCAAGAGGTAGCAAAAAGAAACAGGAAGTTAGAATTAGTATTTCCTTTGAGATGGTTCCAGTGCTGAGCGCTCCTGAAACCAGCTGTCTTTAGCACAAGACAAACCTGATAGTCCTCAACAAACTTCACCTTGGTGTTTATATTCTGCCCATTTCATCTGAATCGTGCGTGCACTGTTTGCTACCCCGTTAGAACCGGCTGCTCTGCACTCAAAGGGAGGAAGTGTCTTCTCAACCTGCAGTTTGTAGGTTTTGGAAGCGCTTTGTCTCTGGCAATACTGATTTGGGGATTTTTTTAAAAAACTTTTTTAAGTCAGAACACCAGAAGTAGGTAGACTACTGCCATTATTCCCCCTTTTTAAAGAAAACCAAGAGAGATGTAATTTTGATAATGTTCTTTGATGAAACTATGTTAAACTTCCTATTTTAATTCCTTGTTAAAATAGCTTTCACTCAAATAAGGAAAAAAAACCCAATCAACTTAATTTTGGGGTGCTTCATCTGTCATGCCAAATATTAAACACATCTTAGGCATTCTTGATAACAGAATAACAGGAGCTTTCTAACAAACTTGGATGAGATGGGTGAAGGTCCTCATTAACACAAAGCTAACTATCCATATTAATGGCTATTCCTATGCACACAATTAATATCCTACAATTATTATGCTTTCAAATGATTCACTTTTGTTTTTGGCGAAACTAATGATAAAATTA